AGAAGCCTGAAATACAAGAGAAGGTGTTCTTCCTTTCCAGGGAAATGAATTTATCAGTACTGATTTAAACAAAGAGTCTGAGAAACATATAATTTTGTTCAGAAAAAAGCTAGTTAGAGGTGAGGTGTATTTGAGGCAATTCTTTTTACAGCTAAATACAGTTAAACCTGAGCCAGGAATCCACATCATATCCATGATCAAGAAATAGCATTGCCTTTGCACTCCATGTCTTGCTGTATTTCCCACCCATTTGACATTACTGGCTTCATTATTTGTAGCAAATCTGCAGGATGCTTGAGTCTGCTTTACTTCTATGCTCTTGGGGTACCCTCGAAGACATATACTTGGGCACTCTTTTTGTGCCAAAGCCCACATGTATCAAAGAACCCTTCATATATTCTCAAAAATATAGTAGTTCTGAAGAATATCATCCTAATAAAACTAGGTGAAAATTATGTTCTTAGTCTTGCTGAATAAAACGAGTATTCTGACCTATCTTCAGGAATATGGAGAGGGCCACAGATGTGGGAAAGAAAGCTCTGAGAGCGAATGGAATTTAGCTTTGCTTTGAGTATGAGAAAATTTGTTCTGAAAACTTGTGTATTGGAACTGAAACTTGAACATGACACTTGGGTTGCAGCACATCTTCAGAGAGAACATCTTCAAGGATTTGCTAAAAGTGCTTTGTATTTTGGTATATCACATCCACAATTCATTTAATTTAGTCAGGTTGCTGGAAGTGAGTCAGATGGTGATTCAATTATTTTCAGCACAAACAGCCTCTGAAGTGTCGTTGTCGGTATTATCAGCAGAAGTGCTCATGAGCTGATGCTGCTGTTTTCCTACATCTCTTGGAATTGATAGGGCAGTTTGAAACCATAATACTTTCAACCATGGCTATGACTCTAGCCCAGATCTCTGACCTACCATAAATCTATTGAAAGCCATTCCTAATGTCAACATGCCTCTTAATTGGAGGGGGGAGTTTTCTGACGCACAGTCTGTAGGTGTGGCTTGTGAGGTTTGTGAGGTTGCTGTTGTATAAAGACTTCTGAGAAAAACTTCAGAGATAGCAGTGGTGGTAGCAGTGAAGGAAACTCAATTATTCGTACTGTATTATGACTTCAAACAAATTTAGTCTTTCCAAAAGTAGAATGTGAGAAGAGTGACATAAAGACGTGGAAAAATGACCTTTGTGATATAATCTGTCAAACTCACAGCTCAGAATATTTGAAAAGATCGAGGGCTTCAAGTGAGTAAAATAAGAAGCCTTTCAGAAAATTCAAGTAGCCTGGAAATCACCTTAAACACTAAGTTACTTCATTATGTGAATGTTTTTTCCAATGTACTTTAGCCTACATAGGTATTTAAGCCAAATTCTTAAAACATTTTTACGGGTTATTGAACATGTGGCTGGCAAAATCGATCAGTTCTGAAATACCCAGTATATCTGCAAAACATTTTGAGGGAGTATGGTCGGGAGATGTCTTGGGTTAATTCACCGCAGGGTTTCTGGAGAATGTTTTGTGTGTTCTGACAATTCAGAGTATTTTTGTTTTGGTAGCAAGTTAATAAGAAAACAAAACCGGACAAAAGCGTTCAAATATGTTTGGCCTCAGCTCTATGAAACAAAAATGCACAATGCCATGTAATGAGGAGTCGCCTAAACTGAAAGCAGTTGGCGTCTGGGAGAATGTTGGAGAGAGAAGCTGAACGTGCTTGGCACGGTCCTAACATGCCATCAGAACCGTTGTGGGCGCTTCCCAAAGATAGGGCTGGACACTTGGTGGTGATGTCCTTGTGATTGCAGGTGACACGAAGCAACCAAGCTGCTTCGCATCATCCGGTGTCCCAAAGGCAGCTTTAAATGGCATTTTAATAAGTCTGTTCACAATGCCCGTGAACCCAAATCTGCACACAGCCAAAACCAGTGTACTGCATATCTCAAATAGTCAGGAGATTCATTGGATTAGTTCTCAGGCAGAAGGGGAGACTGGGTCATTGAAGGTACCCTCAGCTCTGTAACAGGATGGGGAAGACCTTCATCCACAGCCATGTCCTGGGCGATCCACCAGCACTGACCGCAGCAGCTCCTCTTTTCTTCTGTTTCAGGGCAGTTCCTACTGCCAGAGCACCGCTCCTGCTGCTCAGCTAAGTTTTGGAATTTTTAACTGCTAACAAACCCTGTTCAGTTCGAAAGCTACAGGTCAGCTCTTCCCATCTTAAATATTAACAGATTCATTAGTAAGGTCATGAAGGGCTTGCAAACAAGTCACTGAATGCTTTGGTGCCTGAATTGCAACACTTGCCTACTAGTTAGTTGTAACAAACAATAGGGATAAACATGAGCTGTCTAATTTTCAGTATGAGAACGCCAGCCCACTGGACAGTGAAAGGGAGAATAGCTGTGAAACAAAGCCACAAATACCTGAGCTACAGTACTGCTTGAAAAATTTTTGTGAGAGGATCCTCTCTGGAGCACAACATGACCTGGATTATGCATCCTCAGCAGATCTCTCAGCTAAAAGGTAAATAGTAAATGACAAATTCCCACTGGCCTTGCCTTCTGCACCTGCAGCAGTTTCACATGCTGAACCATGCCAGTGCAGGAGGGCTTGGCATGGACTGGTTTGTCAAATTTTCCATGTTCCCCTCAGGTTCGGTTGTGAATACAGACTTCCCCCCCTCCCCGCCTTGTTGAATGCAATGCTGGAGCTTTCAGGTCAGATTTACATGATTATATGAAAAAAAGAGACAACTTTCACTCAGCTTCATGTCAAACCACTCATTTTGCAAACCAGGCCTGCTAGGGACCTGTTTAAGGGGCGTTTCTCAAACTGTGGTTCATGGGCTGGTTCCTGGATGGCCAGGGAAGGTAGATACATGCCAATGCCGCAGTTTTACTACAGTTCTATGCACAGGCTGAGTTGTGGCGATTTGGGATAGAAACCTTTTTAGAAGAGAGTTTAAAAATATACTTTTATGGTTTCACTAATAAAAGGTTTCTAAAAGAAGTATTACCTTTAGCAGCAAAAGGCAATCAAGTTGTGCTTTTAATTTATTTTTTTTTTTAAAAAATATAGCATCAGTTAAATGTTCCTCCTCTTTGAAGGCTAAAAATGCTATGAAATATTGACCAGCTCTTTGCTTGGTTGTGTGTTTGTTTGTTTCAAATGAAGCGTATTGTTCAAATATTAATTCTAGATGAAAAAAATACCTTTTCAGTTAGTCTGTAATTACGTGGAGGATGAAATGATATAGAGAGCTGTGTGTGTTCTCTCCCAAGGCTTGGATTAATTATTTTGTGAGTGCAAATGTATTTTACGTATATATATAAACTAGAGAGAGGGAGAGGTTGTCGGGGCTGGTTTCCTATTATTTTTCAGGTTACCTGCAAGAAATTTTGTTATAGAAGTCAAGAATAACTTATAATTTAATCAGTTATAAAAGCTTAATGTAACCCTATATAACATTCTTCCTTGGTAAAAAAGATTCTTTCTTTACTTAAAAAGGTTATGTTCATACCCCAGGAAAAAAATGAGATGAAAAGGTAATAAATGCATTCCAGACATGTTTTATTTTCCAGAGTATGAACAGAAGTATTGTGAACACTTTATAAACAATTAGTGCATTTTAAGTGGGAGAAAAAGATAATATACTAATTTTCTTGGATATGTCAGGCTATAATTTTTCTTGTTGTTTTACTTCCTGTCTCTCTGGAAGTATCGTCTTCCTTGCTTTTGCTGAAGTATTTATTTATAATGTTTTTATCACATGCAGAATGTTGTGTTAGTTATATTGGTAGAAAAAGTATCTATTTTATTTCTCCATTTTGTTTACTGAAGCTATAAATGGGTTCCATAAAGTTGCCAATAGGTTATTAAAAGGAGACATTTAAGACCTTTCAGTTGTTCAGTTTTCTAATGCTGTGTCTTTTATCATGTTTGTATTTTGCTGGCTTTCCACTCACCATGAAATATTTTAGGCGAGACAAGTCATGACTTTCAAAGTTAAACATTCCCCCTCCATGAATGGCCCCCCAAACCCTGAAGTAACAACCCACAAACCTTTCTGTTTAATTCTCAGTTTTCTTGGTGGACCTTTAAAATTTCCAGTAAATTAAACCACTTCTTGTTTAATCCCTTTGGCGGTGGATTTGCAGCAGATCCATATAACTAGGTCGTTCGTGACGCATTCTCCTCCTTGGCGTCGGTGTCTAGGTTAACAGTAACACAGGGGTATCTCTCACTCCTTGTTGCTAATCAAACCCACACGGGTTGGTGTAAATAAGCTTCTTAGCAGTTTGAGGGTTTGATGATAACATTTTATTGTCATTGTGATAATATTCATGGTGATAGGACCAGCTAAGTAATCAGCTAAATGAGATAGCTCTTTAGAATCAGAGTCATTAGAATGGTTTGAATTGGAAGGGACCTTAAAGCTCATCTAGTTCCAACCCTGCTGCCATGGGCAGAGCCATCTCCAACTAGCCCAGGTTGCTCAGAGCCCCATCCAGCCTGGCCTTGGACACTGCCAGGGAGGGGACAGCCACAGCTTCTCTGGGCAACGTGTACCAGTGTCTCAGCACCCTCACAGTGAAATGTTGGGACTAAGCACAAATGCAGGCTTTCCTGAATATGTAGTCTGGTAATGTATGCATTGTCATCATCTACTCTGTATCCTGAAAGTAATATTTAGATTTAAGACTTCTAAGGGAAAACATTTGAGCATTGTAGCATGCCTGTTAAAAATACCCCACTCTGTGTTCTTCCAAGGAGGAAAATTCTGTGTGAAAGAATTGTGTACCTCCATTAAATGTTTCATAACAGAACATGTTTGGATACCCTTCTTCTGAGAATGTTCGAAACTTTTGTGTAGAAGGCAAGGAGGAGGGAAAATCTATACAGAAGGGCAGCTATGATGTGCAGAGTCACTTTCATAAATTAGTTGCTGTGCTAATTTACTTTTTAACTGCTTTTTCCAGGTCCTCTCACTATTCTATGGGCAGTCGAGCTTTTTCCCATGACAGTATTTTTATACCTGATGGGAGAACAGAGAGTGAACAGGCCATCCAAGCAATGTCACAGGAGAACGTTTTAGGAAAAGTCAAAACTCTTCAGGTAAGAATTTGTAAGTGGGAAAATGGTCTCTAGAATGTGTTAAATGTGGATAAAGGGGACTTGTTTTTTCAATAGCCTTGGAGCAGTTCCTCAGCCATGTAAGTTGTCTGGCCAAAAGTGATGTAAATAATTCAAATAATCTGCAGACGATTTCAGTTTTAGGTTTTGGTCTTGGATGGTACGGCAGCAGTGCTGCAAGCAAATCTGTAGAATTGTCTGCACCTTGTGCAACTCATTTAAGTTGAACTCATGGTTTTTGGCATGTCCTGATCTGTATGCCTGAGACCTACAGATGTGGTACTGAGTGAAAAAATGAGGTTAGTGTTGGTGGCAGGGAATGGCATGCAGAGTGAGACTTCTTTGTAGTAGTGATTTAATTATCCTTTTACGTATATTATCCTTCATTTTATCCCTGTTCTTTCGATGGTTCTCGTCAAAAGGTGGATATATTTGTCTCTCCAAAGCAAACAGCACATAAGTAACTACGTAAACAACACATTTGTGTTTTTGCTTCTAAAGAGATTTACACAACCTGCCTTCCATTCTTTTCCAGAAATCTGTTCTATTAGCATGTCAATTCTCTAGCTTTGCTTCTTGTTCTTCTGTAAGATTCCCAGCTCTGTGCCTTTCTAGACCTTGAAAGAGCTGTCGTCCTTCAGAAGCATGTTTCAGTTTATTGCTCAGGATGCTGGCATGCCCTTTCAAAATGGTGATGAATTTTTAATGCTGTGCCAAGTGTCATTGACCTGTAGCTGACTAGTAAAATACCATTGATTTCCTCTGCCTCCAAAGTCAACCCACAGTCCATCTTTTGTGATGAGTGAGAGATCATGCATGTTATGCAGGTCCAACCTTCAGGATGAAATCCTTCCTTCTGCCTGCCTGGTGCTGTCAGCAGATGACCTGCACAGCTCTGGCTGTGCTGACAGTGGGCGAACTTTGAAGTAGAAACCACACTAGGACAGCTCCGATTTCTCTGTGCTGTTTTTTCAGCTTATATTTCCCAGGGTCAGGTTGATTCAATGCATGCAGCTTTTCAGGCTAGAAACCATTATATTTTATATGACTGCTGACTCTGAGCAAAGATGTGAGGTAGTTGGACTTGTCCTGCAGAATGCTTGAGTGTCCTTTGGATACAAATCTCTCTGACTTCTGCAGGGAGCTGTGTTCTCCCTGTTTGTTGGATCTGTTGTCTTGGCTTCAGCACGTTAGCTTCTCTCTGAATAACTTCCCACTTTGTAGGAATGGCTTCTCCCATTTTCAAACTCCGTTTAAAATTACCAGTGGAAGTTACTGCCTTCACTAAACTCAGAGACATGATAAAAAAGTACAATTACTGCAGTTGATAATAACCATCATCACTAAGTAAATGATAACTCCAGAAAATTAAAGCAAAAATAATCACCTTTGACAGTCACAAAATAAACAGCCAGTGATACGCTCTTACTCAGGTGAACTTTGCATAAGGCTTTTTTTGGTGTGGTTACTTGCATGTGTTTTAAGGGAGAGTGTTGTTTCAGCTGCTTGATGTCAAACGTATGCTTGCATTTTATTTAAAATTGAAAGACAGTAGTTCATTTTTATCATTTTAATATAGCTGCAACATCCCAAATTCAGCTTTGTCCACACTACTGATAATGGTGATATACAGAGAAACTCATTCAACCAGAAAGGAAATGCATAACAGATGGTAAATGATGCTTTAACTATTTAGATATTTACACAGAAGTTATATATTCATCTAAATGTCCACGTTTGGGTTTTTTTTATACCCTCCATAGAAAGGCTCCTTATGACAAGACGAGGCACCACTGTATTTGCAAAACCTGCTGCTCAGCACATTACTGTTCCTATTTCCCAAGCCATGATTTCTGCAACTGTTCCCTGAGTTTTAGGACAAGATCATGGCAAAATCCCATTGCACATTTTTAAGTTGACCTTAGAACTGAGTCCCAGGCCTGACCAGTTATTTGGATTATCAGTTCTGTCTGAAGGCTTTGTGCACTCCATACCCCATCCCTCTTTTCTCCTATTGTGTTGCTGCGTGATTTTGCAGTCACAGAAAACACTGATACTCAGTCTGCAGTTATCAGAAGCTTGTATCTACTTTGAAGTCCCTTTCTGCAAGCTCACTACCACTGGAAACATCCATATTTTTTCAAGTGGTGGAACAAGAGGAGCCAGTCCACTCCTTAAAATGAATTCTGTGGCCAGCTCCTGGCCCCAAGTCATTGCTATGCCACCAACATGACCGTGGTTTTGCCCAGGCTTGTATGGCACGGTGGAAGCACAGCAGTTCCAGTTTCAATTTGCCTGGCAAGATGCTCCTCAGTAAGGAAGTGTTGCCAGGATGCAGCGCCCTGGGCTGGCTCTGAACACGCTGTTTTCCAAATGGAGATCAAAAGCTCTGCAAATTTTAAACTTTTTCAGGGTTTTTTGAGGGAGTCATACAGCAAAGATTCCTGGAAATCCTAACTCTTTTTATGGAAGATGCCCAACTGACAGTGTGGTGAAAAGGGTTTTGAAATCAGAATAGAAGTGCAAGCCCTTTCATACTGATGGTGCTGGATCTCATTCTGCTGACCACCAAAGTGTTTCCCCCTTTCTCATCTTGTGTTTCTGCTGAGTTTGGACTGTTGATGAGCGACAAAAAATATCATGCGATGGTGCAAAACTGTAGCAGTCTGGGCAGTGTCTGCACTGGGTCAGCTTCTTATTGTAGGAATTTTCTCTTCCTGATTACATGTGTAAAGTAAATTAGTACTTTCTGTCATAGTTGTCCATTACTTCTATTGATTTTCAGATTGGCAGTAATCATCTTATTAGGCTTTCTATAGGTGGATTTCGTCACGTTCAAAGGTTTTACTGTGTGCTAGAAGTCAGACTGAGAAAAGCCTGCCTTCTTGTCAACCACCAATAGCTTTGCATATCCTGAAGTTATTTTGTGTGGGCTCAAGACCTCTACTGTTGTAAGAGCAGTCTTTTTCTTGTCCTTTTTTGAGCCGCTGAGATTTATCATTACCTAGTTTTTAAGATCCAGTTTAGAAAGCCAAGCTGAACCTGCTCCCACAAAGAGGTGAGATACCTAGGCACTGGTTTTCTTAGTGGTGAAGTCTTCTAGTTTCTTAGGATCTGCTGCTTCTCATACAGGACTGTGAATGACACACAATGTTTACAATCTAAATCTACCAGTGTGTCAGAGAAAACCTGAAAGAAACTCTGGGAGCTTATTTTTGCATCCTTTCATTTCACAGGTTAGTGTTGTGTGTTTTTTCTTGCATCAAAGTGTGTTAGATTCACTTCCTCGCATTTTGCAGCTGTGCTTCTTCTTCCTACTACTGGTATTTGCCAGAAATGGTCAGCAAATGAACAGAAGGCAGTTTTTGTTGCAGACCCACAAAAACTGCAGCAAGTAAAACGGAAGCTTGTTTTGAGCATCAGTATCTTAATGGAGAGTGGAATGGTTCCCTCCGTGCATCTTATATCCAAGACACCTGTGGTAATACTTCTTATTTTCCTCCTTTCCAGTAGGTTTACATGTTAATTTCACATCTAGTTTATTTTCTAAAGCCTCCAGTTATACCAGTGTAACTTCTTATATGATGCTTTTCAGTTTATTCTCTCTTTGATTTAAGATAATAATAATAATAATAATTGCTTATGTGGGATGCTTTGCTTGTTTAGATATGCTTCAGATTTTCCTGTTTGGATAAAGAAGTGGACTCACTTTCATAGAAAGAACAATTATGTAAACTATATTTTTCAGCCTAGAAAAGAAATTGTAAGAGAGAGAATATGATAGAGATGCATGAAATCATGAGTGGAATCAAGGAAATGAATAGAGGACAATTATTTAGTCTTTCACAACATGAGAACAAATGAGCAGCAGCTGAAACTATTAATACTTTTAAAACAAATATTTCTTTATGCATAGTTGGGCTTTAGAACTCATTGTCATACAGCACTTATTCATGAAATATTTACAGTTCAAAGACCAAGGAAACAAATTCATAAAAGAATGTTCCCAACCAGCTATTGACTCCAAAACTCCTCATATGCCACAAATCACTGCAGCCTTTACAAGCAAAATCGCAGTATGGGCTTGTCCTGTTCTTATATATTCCCAAGGCATTTGATTTTTGCATCCCTGTGACAGACTGTACAGGACCAAGTGGAATTTCAACAGCATGGCTCTTCTTAGGGCTACTATTATTGATTTAGTAATTATTTCACAATTATACTAGAAAACATAGTTTCATTTATTTAAGTATCCAGGCATTGCAAACAGATAGGAAAAATAAGTCTTTGAGTTGAAGGCAAAATATGACAAGCATTCCTTCTAAGAACTGTTTGAATGGAATCAGCTGGAATAGGACACTCTGTTTTAATGATTTTGGGGTTTTTTTTAGCTGAACAGAGTGAGCAGCTCAGTGGATCCAGTTTTGGATTCACTCCAGGCACGGAGCTGTAAGAACGGTGTGGTTTCAGGGGGCTGAATCCAACGTGCACGCAAGCAGGCGTGTACACAAAGAGGACCCAAATTGCAGTGAAAGGGGAGATGTACAGCCTGATCTGGGCTCTCTGCCGGTTAATATGGAAAGTTTGTTCTGTGGCATTTCCTATGCAAACACAAAGAGTGCTTTGAAAGCCTGAGCTTTTTAATTTGCTGCAGGTGCCAACCAGTGCAGAGCAATTTAACTTAGGAGTTTTACTTCTGAAGTCATTAATGGTAAGCTGGTATAAAGATGTCAGTTAAACAGTATCACATTTTAGGAAATTATTTGCATGAAATAAATGTGAGCCTGTGTCATGGTCCAGTTGTTGAAGAAGATTTTAAAATTCGGATGAGTGCAAATTTTAAGTGGTGGGGGGTTTTTTATTGTTTATTTACGGTATTTCTTTGCCTTTATTAGATGTGCAGCCCTGCCCCTCACCTCACACTTAATGGCACTGCACTGATAGCTGCTCACATGGGGTGTGAATAGACAAACTGCCACGCACCTCTTGAATCTTACAGAAAAAAAACTGGAGATCAGGTGACCTGTTCTGGAGCCCGGCTTGATGATACCGTCCTGAAGCTCCACTGCACGCATGGTCCCTCCAGCCGCTGTTTCATGGTGTAGCTGTCTTATGTGCTGTTTTGGTGCTGAGAACAGTTTGCAAGACCTGTGGAAATACCTGCACACTGGCTGCAAACTGAGGAAGTGGAATTGATAAAGTTGGAAGTGGAAGGTACAGGCGGGAAATGTTCATTCTCCCTCCTTCTGCTTCTAGCTGACTGCTAGGTTTCAGAGCAGGACAGTGATTTCTGGCTGCGAAATTACAAGTCTTCTTGCACAAACCAGAAGAGACCAATATGCATCTATGGAGATTTCCAAACGGGTATTTAAACACATGACTGCGCAGTGATAGTAGAACAAAATGCCACGCCTGCAACTTCTAATGACTGGCATTGCAGATAGTACTGCTTTGGCAACCATCATCCATGCGCTGTCAGCACAGGGAGTTCTCGAGCATAGAGGATTTGTAGCTTTGTGTTTGGAAATATAAGTGTAATGGAAACTTTTGAGAAATTTGAAGCAGATGCTCCTTTTCAGGGAATATGTCCTCTTCTCAACTGCCTTGCAGCTTCACTTGATGTACTGCTCCAAACTCTAGGTTGGACTATCTGTGTGTGTTCTTCCAGGTAAAAGTTGTGAGTCTTTTCTTATATTTCAGGGACACATTGACAGGGTTTTTATGGATGACCAAGTATCTGTATGAATTTTTCCGAGAGAGGGTAATTCCATTGTGGCTACAGTATAAGCACTTTTTAAAAACTAACAAGGGGCAGGTTTAACGTTGTTCCTTGAAAGCAATAAGGCTACATTTGCTCTGTGGTAACAATAAGCTATTTTGACATTTTATATTCAGCATCAAGTTTGGAGATTAGAATAAAGTGAAAGAAATTGGCCAATGGGGAGCTATTAGTGAAGCTTTTTTTTTGAAGCTGAATTTGTTCAAAAAAGGCCAAATACAGAGAAGATCCTTCTGTCCTGGAAGGAATGTGAGAGCTACTAGAGTTCTTCTTCAGTCTTCAAACTAATTTATGCAAGTCTGGGTGAATAACTTTTAAAACTTTGAAGTAATTTAAAAAAGAAAGAATAAAACGAAAAAACTCAACAACCATCTGTGTACAGTTCATAAATGTTGAGGATAGCCTGCTTCCTGGAAATATGAGGAATATAACATTTTAAACCAGCATCAGAGGACCTGCAGGAATAGAGCAGAATTACAGCCTTCACACCATCTAACACAGACCTATTTGTTCTCTCCAGCTCTCATATATACAATGGGAACATGTAAGATTTCAAGTCAGAGAGTTGCACTGCGAACGTGAAAGTCTGGGAGGATCTGGCGAAACCCTTGCCTGTAGACTGTGGGTGCAATGCCAGAAATCTAGGCAGGAGTAAAATTCTGCCATTCAGAACTGCCCACTGTGCCAAAATGATGTACTGGATAAATTTGGCTACTTTCTGCTAAAATGCAAATGGGCATGAATAATGTGTAACAAAATGAAGAGGCTGAGAAAAGCTATTCTAATTGAATAACCTGATTATAAGAAGCCTGTGCATGTACTTTTTGTCTTACAGAAATCTATTACTATTTTGGGGTAATGTGGATAAACTTTATATAGGAATCTGGTCTACTGGGCAATGATGGCAAGTGAGATTGGTCTGACCTAGATCCTTTTAGAGGTCCTTCTGCTGCTACTAAAGCCTATCTTCCCTTGCCAACTGCTCACCTAAGCCATGCTACTGATTCTCTGCTATAGGAATGAAAAAACATCTTTTACATGATATCCACTCCAATCTTCTGCAGTTCTCAGTGGCAAACTCATGTCAGGGATCTGCATACGTACACGACATTTCCACTGAGTTCAGTTGCTCCACATCTGCACAGTTGCTGCACACTGAGTTCAGCTGCTGCAAATTTTCTGTGCTTGAAAGAAAATAAAGCATGAAAACAACTTCATGGTCCCTTGCTTCCTAACTGGGAATGATTCCCTGAAATATTTCAGGAAGATAGTCTATCAATAAATGTTCCTTACTCCATTTGCTCCTTCTAGAGAAATTCTTTTAACTCTTTTGCAAAAAGTTCACCTTCAAAGACTGTGTGGTATGTGTCTCTGTAATAGCCAGGGCTGTAATTTCTCTAATTCACCCTACCAGATGACAGATATTATATGCTCCTTATTTTACTTGTCTGATGCTTAATATAATTCAAGAGTACTTTCTTGTAACCCCTGAGAGAAGATTACTTCAACAAGGAAAATGAATGGTAGGAAAGCTCTTTTATCCATTCACCTGCTCCATGTCCCCTGCATAAACTTTTTTCTGTAGAAGCAGTGGTGGGGCAGTGCACGTGAGCATGAGCAGACATGAGTTTGTGTATTGTTCCTATGAGATCAAGCATCTGAAGAAAGCTGGGTTTCCCCTCCTTTGAGAATTGGCCTCCTCTAAGGCAGGGCTATGCCAAATCCTTAATGTTTAAAATTTAGGACTAAACATTACAATAAGTATATCCGTAAGAACTGTAGATGCATGAGGCACAGGGCTTGGGGGCTGGAGAAGAAAAAGGTTGCCTTTTGGAGCAGTTTCAGTTTCTCAGTGTACACTTGGCTCATAATCACATTTCTTTGAAACAGTAAGACTTCATAATTGGCTTTTATAAGCACAGTCTTAACCAAGGACGTAGATTAAAAAAAGAAAGAATGTTTCAAAATTCACAGTAAGTTGGCAAAAGGTGGCAACACTGACAGGAACTCAAGTTGATCCTCCAAAATCAGAAAATCATGCTATAAATTCCTGATCCTGGTCACTTTTTAAGGAGAAAGAAGGGGTGCCCATTGTGTTGCAGCAATCGGAGCCTCAAGTTGATTTTTTTTTTTTATTTTGTCCAGAGTCAGAAGTTGTCCTGAATGTTTCTGTGCAGCTTTTGGCGGGAGAAGTGGCACATGCTAGACTTGGCTTGTTTTGCTCATAATATAATTTTTTTTGTTGTTTTTTCTTTTCTTGTTTTTCAGCAACAGTTGGCCAAGAATATAAAATTTGGACAGCCTCCACAAATGACAATTTCTGTGAGGACAATGGGGGAGGCAAACACTAGTATGGAAGAGGATGTGCTGCTCAGTAGCCCTATGGAGATTGAGACTCAGCAGGATACAGTGATCTCACGCAGTGGTAATAAAGTAAGCACTTTAAATCAACGTATTCATGGCACTATAGCAGTACTAAAACAGTAAAGTTCACTGGGGTGTAGCAGATGTCTCCAGTGAGGTGCAACTGAGCTCAGCGGGCTGTTTTACGTGGGTGGGATCTCTCAGGTCCTGCTTCCTGGACTGGTGAGAAGTGTGTGCTCTTGGCATCCTGAGACGGATCCCATGGAATTACCGGTTTGAATGTTTGCTCTTAACTTCCAACAATGAAGAAATAACTCACAGTCTAGCTAGAAGACAGGAAAAATTTCTGAGATAGAAAATGCTCTGAAATGTGGACTTCCCAGCATGCAAGGTGTGCACAGCATCAAATGGCAAAAAGGAAAAACATTCCAAAATGAGAAGGGTCTGGAGGCTGAATCTGTAAGATCCTGAGTCTTGGGGTAAATGTCCATATTTCTCATGGATAGGTACTAAAGGCAAAGAAGGGGGAGAAATATTTTGAGAATTCTCCCCAAACCCAAATGTCTGGTATAATTCAAATAATTACTCAAATTATCCATGAAGATTTTGATACCAGGAGCTGTGGGCATTCAGATGCCCAGAAGGGTCTTGTTCTGAGGGAGAAGAAACAGGGTGAGTGACGGAAACTCTCTGGAAACCCTCTGAGGTGAGACTGGTTCTATGTAATGTCTGGGGGGCAAAGGGACATCCTTCCCTGCCCGGAGGAGGCTAATTTTGCACCAGGGAACCGTTGGGGAAGGCACACGACAGTCCACTATGCACATGCAGCCCTTAAAATCCTGGAGGGACACCGAGGCAAAGGCAAGTAAGTGTCTTCTGCAGCTCATACCTATGTTCAGCCAAACATGCAAAAGATTTGTGGCTGAGGTGGCCCAAATTCTTCATCAGTCTCCAAGGGGCAACATAGCTCCTCTGTGACCGCTTCCTTCATGTCTGTGGTTGGATCTGTCAGGGGGCCAGGCATTTGGGTAGGGTCTGCACGCTCATGCCTCTCCCTCTGCAATCTGGAAGGATGGAAATGAAGCCAAAGTAAGGTCTTGTCCTGGGTTAGTGGCCGTCTCAGCCCTAACCTGCGACAGATTGGATTTTTTTCTGCTGCACAAATACTTGCTTCTGAAGCAATAAGTTAAGGTGAATTGAGAGCACCCAGCGTGTCTCAGAGCACAAAGAGTGTGACTGCAGATAGATTTTTGGCTACCGTACCCTGGTGCTGTGTGAGACTGTGCTTGAGACCAACACAGATTCTCTGCAGACAGCCTTCTACTGGGTCCTGCAGGAGATCCGAATGTCACCTAGTGACCTCCAGCTCAAAGGAAAAAATAATTCAAGCACTAAAAAAACCACTAGAGTATCTTTGTGTCGTAAGGAGGGTGAGATTCAAGTCCTTACCAGCTACCCTTACAAATATTACATTTTGAAAACAAAATGAAAGCCTCTCTGCATAATTCTTTTTCCGAGTACTGAAGGAGCAAGCATCCTTACTCAGAGGAGATTGCAGACACCAGCAAGCCAACGCTACATGCATAGGGTCAGCCAGAGCACTCGTTACTCTCTTTTTCTGAGCACTACTCATTACCTGCTTTATCCGAGATTCCTGGCACACAGCAGCTTGCCTAGCTTCTGCTCCTGTCTCTGCTGTTGGCCTTGTAATTCCTCTGCACGTTGTGGGAGGAAGGGGTGAATTCTGTCAGGGCTTGGTGGTTGTCAGAATCACATAGTGCTGCTCCACTTCAAACAGGTTTCCTGTGTTGCTTCACCACTTCTGATTTTCCCAGCTGAGTAACTTGAATCAATGGCAAGAGTTCTGGGCTTCTTTTCATTTAACCTGTGTTTCTAAAGCTGGGGTTTTTTAGGCTTTATACTAACAATCATGTGTACCTGGTGTAATGGGAACCCAACATTCATTAGGTTATCAATACTGTGATATAATGATGAAAACCAATGTTTCTGGGTGTGATGAATGCTGCTTCAACCTCTGCACCTTAGAAATCCTCTCCTGTGAAATGGCTTGGAAAGGGACGGTAACAAAGGAGTCTGCGTGACTGATGGGCTCAGGGAGGGGGTGTCAGTTTGCTTTGTAAGAAAAGGAGTCATCAATAACCTGGAGTTGGAAACTCCTTGCAGCAGAGGTGATGCCTGATCAGGTTCCTTTTTTTTTCCTTAGGCATAGGCCAGGAGGAAATAAAGTTATCAAGGGCTGATTGAAATCCTACAAAGCTGTGCTCTCTCTTTTGATTTGGAACCTGGTTATTTTGTTAAGGAAGTGTGAGTGTTTCACCTTTTGGACTGTCTTGTAGCAGCAACAGCAGTGATTCAAGGAGCAGCAGAGAGAAACTCATAGTATTTAGGAATAAAAGTTGTTTATCCGTCAGTCCTTTAGTGACAGGAAATATAGTAAAAATCCTACCCTAATATGCATGATTTCATGAGTCCTTTGAACCATATTTATTAGATCCTTTACATTTTAATATATAGCTGTGGTAATCTTATTTTGCAGTCCACTGACACTCCAGGCTTGTTGAGAACAATGACTTTGCCTGGAACAGGTTACGAAATGGAAGAAAAGGTAAAAATACCGTTTACACTTGCTTTGCACTGAGCTACTTTCTAATTTTTGTTATTAGAAGCCTGTAAGTCAGTTTTTACTTTAATACATACTTCATTCTTTCATTGATCATCCAAGATTTTGTGTATGTTGCACAGTTTGGGTGCTAGTAAATAAGCAATACCTAAGACTGAGAAGTCTGTAAGAGCTGATTGCAGGAAACAGCAGAACTCTGTCTCTGCCAGTCTTGCAGCATCCCTGCATCTGATGTATTAATCATAGAGCCATAATTTTCATAAGTACTTCTGCTACTTTGTTATGCCTACATGTAATTCAATGAGCATATGCAAAATGTTCCATCAACTTTTAAATAATTGGTTCCCTGATTAGCATATGTTTAACCTCAGAAGATTACAGAGATGTCCTGAAAACAATGTATGTGATTTTCTTTCCTAACAGAATATGTTTTCTTCCTTCTGTTTTTTTCTGTCTTCTTTTTCCACTTGGATTGTGCCAAATACGAGTCTCAGGATGATAGCTCGGTGACTTGTAGGAGGGTCTGATGACAGGCTCAATCTTACATGTCTAGACGTACAGTTCCATTGTATTTATCCGTGAGTGGAGTCTCACTAAATCACTTGGCTTGTATTTGCAATTTCTGAACCCAAATATTTGAGGAGGCAAGAGAAAAAAAATGCAGGTCAAAGCGAGTATTATCTTATTTTTTTGCTGCTCTTTTGTACTAGCTTGGTCAATTCCACATGACTCTGGAGGGGAGGTTTTCCAAAGGCACTGTGCCAGTCTGAGATCCATTGCTGTAGTCATCTCCCGTGCAGATAGTACAGCTCTGTAGCTGTTCTGTTATAATGCTTAGATAAGTCAGTCTGGTTTGTCTGAAGTGTATAATCTATATTATTTAAAGATGTAGACATTCTTTTCCACAGTAAGCAAACTTTACATATCCCAGTGTTTGATGTTGCTTAAAACTCTGTCTTTGCCCTCCTCATTCCCAACAACTTCAGAGTTGAGCTAAATCTTTGACAAAATAGTTAGAATTGTCTAAGTAGTTTTTAAGTGAAAAATGTAAAAACATGTAGTACTGGCAATAGGAAAACATCACAGCTGTAACTTTAATGTCCAAAGTTCATGATTTGTATAATGGAAAAAAGAGCTTGACATATTTTCTGCTAATAACTCCTTTACATTCAAAACTGTAAAAGCTTTTTGTGTTTTATTTATTTAAATTGAATGAATAGCTTAAGAATACCTTCTTGTGTTTGATACAAACAGATCGCTCCTGTCAAATCATCTCGGCCAAAAAGACAATTTTCCTGTTCTGGCACAATTGAAACAATCAATCTGGATGCGGTTCCCCAGGCTGTTGCTCGTCTAGACAACAGTGCAGCTAAACACAAACTTGCAGTGAAGCCAAAAAAGCAGAGGATGTCACGAAAGCACAAGAGATTAACAAAGGTATCGAATCACTGGTGAAACAGCGAAAGGAGGGGGGTTGCTTTTGAAGCTGGGTACAAAATAACCATAACTGAGTGCACCAGGAGTAGCTACAGAGGACTCTCTTAAGGTGTGATTAACACTGTTGGAGATAGCTATTGGAAGCTTCTTCAACAAATCTTGTGTCTCCAAGGCAAAACAAAATGCATGCTCCTTTCATTTTGTCTTGAAATCAAGATAGGGACCTAAAGATGAAACCCTAGGAGAGAAGATGCAAAGCAGTTTTAATATAGACAGCTGAGACAAATACTACTTACACCTGAAGTACTTCCAGTAGGATTTGACATTGGGAGGACTTTCTGATTCGAGTTTTTCTAGTAAGAAATTTGGGTCATAGAGGTCTGAAGGATATCAGTCACTGTTAATTACGCTTTGGTATAGGCAATCAGATGGTGCAAAATTTGATGGGGGAAAAAAAATTAGATTCTTTAAAACTGGCATGGGTTCTGATGTTGTCTCGAAGCTGAGTTTGTTTCCCGGTGGACAATAAGCCTGTCTTGGACACTGAGGCAAGATATTGTCGCTTACTTCATTTCTGCGCAGAGCTGAGCGCTAGGTGGCAATTCCACAAAGCTAACACACCACACCAAGGAATTACAATGTATTTATCTTGTTACTTGATTAGTATAAACATGCCTAAATTTACAATTGCTGGTCAGTGATAACTAAGCCTTCTGTTATTGGTTAGATATATTTAAATTAGCCTCACTTTCAATGTAAATTAGCATATGTGCTTCTTACGGGTGGGGGAGAGCAAGTTTTCTTTCGTTTGAATTGGGTAGGTGGTTGCGATCTCCCCCTGCCACCTTTACCTTTGGCTGACTTCAAGTCCTTTGGCAATTACTCAGCTTTTTCAGCACTCTCTGGGATAGGATATTTCCTTTTCATCTTTTTTTTTGTTTTGGTTCATCTTCCATGGTGCAGTTGCTAGCAAGGCATCCATTTATACAAAGTAATATACTTGTACAGTAAAGCTATTGAAATAACATGCTTACCCAATAAAGCTATTGACCAGTGGTGCTCTTTAGAAGATCTGTATAGCATACTTAATCCTAAGTGAAACAGTGTCACTATAACTTAAGCATTAATCCATATATATGATTTTATGTAGTTGGTACTGACAGTAGTAATATCATTGTCTTATAAGAAAGAGTAAGACTTAAGTAACATGGCTCTTGCTACAGCTACAGAGTGAATTATCAGATCCTCACTTTGTACACTTACTGCATGTCTGTTTTGCTTTTTATCCTGACATCTTACTAGTGTTTGTAAATGGGACAAGACTATTCAGCTAATGCAGGGTTCAGAAGAGGCCACTGTCCTTTCTTCCGCACCACTGTATGTGCATTTATCACTCTTGCAATGAAGAAATCAAATTTAAACCTCTTGTTTGTACAAAATGTTTAACTGGCGTCAAATGATAGCTCAGCAAATGATAGCTAGACAGGGCATTAGCTGGGCTGTTTTGCTCAAGGAAAGTGCTGGGAAAGTGCTCTTCAGGTGCAGCTCATCTTCAGACCATGTCACTACGGAGGCAAGGAGTGAGCTGTGAAGAAGATCTGCATTCAGCTTGTTCCCAGTATTGCACCCACACACCAGGGCTGTTGGGGAAGCACAGAGAACAGGCCAGCAGTTAGCACACGGCGTGTACAGTCCAGTGTTGCTGGGAAGCTCTAGGTTCTTTGTCCGTGCATGGTTGGTCCCACAGTTCCTGTGATAGAACTGGAGTCTCAGCACAGCTAATGAGGAAGATATCCTGGCTCAGGATTTGTGAAAAGCAACCAAATTGTGTTTCCCTGAGCAGTATTCTTTCCTGGCTAGCGTTGCAGAGCTCTTTTCTGCAAGGCAACAGCTTCTGTCTCTGCAAGTAACAGCTAGATTTGCCATGAAGGAACTGGCAAAACAATGCCCTTAAGCAGGTGCTAATTATTTCAGGCTTAAAGGATGGAGCTCTAAGTAGTAGAACAAGCATATGAAACTTGTGCTCTATTCCTTGGGATTCTGTAAATTTGAAATGGCAGGTCTCAATCTGGATTAGTTCATGTACACCGAATGGTGATTCAGTATTTAGCATTATACTGTTATCTCTGTTGGGATATGTTACTTTTTTAAAAGCTATCATTTGAATAGCTGAGAGGCATGGGATGTATGACAATGTGATCCATAAATTGGAGTGGCTGTGTTGGTTCTGGATCTAAATAATTGTGGGCTTTTTAAAAAATAAAAATATTGTTTTGCATTTGCAACCATTTGATTGTTCACTGTAAAGAATAATAAGCCAATAGACAGTATTTAGTAACTCCAAACTTCTCTCCCAATTTTAGGGCTCACAAAGTTTAACAATAACAGAATTTGAACCAGAGGACCTAGAAACTGAGCTGTATGGAGACAGATACCCAGGTTATAACGGACACATCATAGCTGACAAACTAATCCAGAAGAGGGATGAGCAGAAGCAGCTTCAGCCGGCAGAGGAGAAAAGAATTGAAGATCACTGGGGGATCTTTGAGGCTGAAAGAATAAGACAGATTGTAGAAATGGAAGAACAAAAAGAAATGGAAGAACAAAGGTGCCAAAAACTCGAGCAGATGCAGAAAGAGCAGGAGAGAAGGCATTGTGATGAAGAGAGGAGGCAGTATCTCCTTGAAGGAGAGACATCTTTGAAAACAGAATTAAAAGCATGCAATAAAGAGGAGAGAAGACTGCTGGAAACTGAAAAGAGGCAAGAGCTGGAAAAGCAGAGGTGCCAGGAACTGGAGAAGCAGAGGCAGAAGGAGTTGGAGGAGCAACAAGGACGAAAGCAGGAGGAGCAGAGTCACCAGGAACAGGAGCAACAGAGACGAGAGCTGGAGGAGCAGAAGCGCCAGGAACAGGAGCAGCAACAGAGACAAGAGTGTGAGAAGCAACAGAGACAAGATCTGGAGAAGCAGAAGCTCCAGGAATGGGAGGAGCAGCAGAGACGAGATCTGGTGGAGCAGAAGCTCCAGGAAAAGGAGGAGCAACAGAGACAAGATCTAGAGGAGCAGAAGCTCCAAGACTGGGAGAAGCAACAGAGAGGAGAACTGGAGGAGCAGAAGCTCCAGGAACGGGAGGAGCAACAGACACAAGATCTAGAGGAGCAGAAGCTCTGGGATTGGGAGAAGCAACAGAGAGGAGAACTGGAGGAGCAGAAGCTCCAGGAATGGGAGGAGCAACAGAGACAAGATCTAGAGGAGCAGAAGCTCCAGGATCGGGAGAAACAACAGAGAGGAGAGCTGGAGGAGCAGAAGCTCCAGGAATGGGAGGAGCAACAGAGACAAGATCTAGAGGAGCAGAAGCTCCAGGATCGGGAGAAGCAACAGAGAGGAGAGCTGGAGGAGCAGAAGCTCCAGGAATGGGAGGAGCAACAGAGACAAGATCTGGAAGAACAGAAGCTCCAGGAACAGGAGGAGCAACAGAGACGAGATCTGGAGGAGCAGAAGCTCCAGGAATGGGAGGAGAAACAAGGGCAAGATCTGGAGGAGCAGAAGCATCAGGAATGGGAAGTGCAGAGATGTCAGGAGTTGGAGGAGCAGAAGCATCAAGAGCAGAGGCATCAGGAGCTGGAGGAACGGAGACAAGAGCTGGAGGAGCAGAGGAGGCTAGAGCTGGAAGAATTAAGGCATAAGATTGAAAACCAGTGTCAAGAGGAAGAAGAAAGAAATTGGCTGAAGGAAGAAAAAGAATTCAGGGAACAAAATAAAAAAGAAAAACAGAGACGAGAACTGGAAGAGAAAGAGCTTGAGGAAGCAGAAATAAAGCTCAAGCAGGAGAAAGAAGCTGAGAGTCTGAAGGAACAAAAGAAACAGGAGGAACAAAGGCAGCAGTTGAAGGAGAAAGGAGAAAAGACAGAGAAGGAACAACCCCAGGAAGATAAGAAAAAGAAATGGGAGGAGCACAGAAAACACAAGCTCAAAAAGCAAATGCATATGGAAAGTTCAGACGGTATGCAAGAAGATGAACTGAAGCAGCAAAAGGAACAAAATGAACAAAAGTGGAACATTCCAGAAGAGCAGGAGATAGACACAGAAAGACAAAATCCTCAGCAAAATCAACAAGAAAAATCCTTGGAACAGCAACAGGACAAGGATCAGTTGTGTTCTGTAGGGGTTGATAGGCATCTGGTAGAGGAAAAGCTCCAAGAAAGATCAAGATCCCAAAAACTCAAACAGACAGAAAAAGGGAATAAAACAGCAGAAGAAATCCTAGCCCAGAAACTCAAGAGAGAAGTCGAGGCTCAGGAACAAAAGCGAATAGGAGAAGAACTTCGGTGGCAAGAGGTAGATGAAAGACAGACTGCATCCAGACCCTTCACATTTCAAGTGTCTTCTGGAGATAAACAGATCATATTTCAGAAAGTAAATCTGAGTCCAGTCATGCCTGTCAAAGGAGCAGGAGTGTCTTCTCCATCCATCAAAGACTCCAGGATGCACACTGCCAGCAAGGGCTCTCATACGCTTCCATCATCTGTGTGCGTACCCCACACAGCTATTTTGGTTACTGGAGCACAGCTGTGTGGCACAGCAGTTAACTTAAACCAGATAAAGGACACAGCTTGTAAATCATTACTTGGCTTAACGGAAGAGAGAAAAAATGTGGATATTCCTTCACCAGAGAAGGCCCAGAAAAAAACCCAGGATCCCAAACCTAGCAGCAGTAAAATGAAATATGCACAAGAGTCATTGAACAACCAGGCTGTACTGGCTGAGTGGGCCTCTATCCGTTCCAGAATCCTAAAGAACGCAGAAAGCAGCAAATATAACGAGAAAGACCGAGTAAGTGTCTGCAGACACAGTGATGACTGGACTCCCCGAGGACGGGGTGCTCCCCATGGCAACTTGAGGAAAACCCTCTCTGCAAATGCAAAATTCTCGATAATGCCAGCATGGCAGAAATTTTCAGATGCTTCAAAAAACAATATAGATGCTGAGAATGTAAGTGTGGCAACAGGCAATGAAACAGTGGCTGTGGGAAGAACCACTGGCTTATCTGCTGATTCGAAGGAGGATGTGGCCTCCACATTTAAGGATAACTTAGCTGAAAAGGCTAAGGAGAAAATGGAAACTCATAGGGAAATTACAGACAACACAGAAGGCTGTAAATTTGCAAAAGATCTTCCATCTTTCCTTGTTCCAAATTTTCCTCATTCTCCAGGTAAAGAATTACCCCAGGCAGAACTTCCTGGTGTTCTGGAAAATCAGCAGAATAACAGCACAAAGAAAGCAGATAAACCAGCACCAAATGGAGAAGAAAATGTTTCTCCTTTTGGGATAAAATTACGAAGGACAAACTACTCTTTACGTTTCCATTATGATCAACAGGCAGAGCAAAGGAAAAAGAAGCGATACAGCGCGGGAGATAGTTTTGATGGTGTGCCTGACCCACTAGTTACTACAGAAGGTGAGAAAGAGTCTGAGGTTTTTGCTCCACAGGAGAGTACACCCCCTGGCACAGGGAGAGTGAACGTCCCTGGTAATTTAAAAGACTCAAAAGACTCTTCAGTTACTGCAATGGAGACTTCACAACCGGCAGTCACACCGGTGGTCCTACTAGCCACTGGCCAGAGTGCTTTAGCCCCTCAGGAGAAACCGGCAGGCAAGTCACTGCTCCAGCAGAAACCTGCTTTAGCTCCAAAGCCCACCAGTCAGACACCGCCATCGTCTCCTCTCTCTAAAATTAACAGATCAAGCCTATCTGATGCACTAGGGCAAAGGTTGGTTAAAACTGAATCAGATGGTGGCTGGAGAAGAGAAGACAGAGCGAATGCAGCACGCTCCACACCATCCAGTGAGTATAAGAATGAAGACGAAGAAATCAGAGAAAAGAAGTCGTTTTTCCCATCTATAAGTATTCCATGGAGAGAAAAAAATGACAAAAAGCCTGAGCCATTGAAGAGAGGTATGTATTTTTCAAAGGTCGTTTAGCTATTGTCTGCATTTCTAAAATGAGATACTGGAGGTCCAGGGGAAGACATTTCGTCTTGAGCTGTAATTTTTACCTGGCATGTTACTTGTGGAGTACTAGCACGTTGCTTAGGCTTGTCTGAACGAATGGGACTTTCCAACCCCACAGTTTAATTCAGAAATACACAAACTCAGCATGATCAGTGCTACCTGCTTAGGAAAATTAATTTATAGGAGGTAACTGAAGTGTGTGTGAATTTTCCTTGGTAGAGATGTTGCCTAGTTAGGCAGAGGATGGACTCAATGTTCCTCGTGCAACGGTGTCATCAGAGCAGAAGGAATCATTTTTATAATTTACTTTACATTGTTTCTGTTTGTTAGGGGAATATTATCTAGCTTAAAAACTATGAAGATCTGGATCCCCTTATAGTACCTATTCTGGGTAAATTATCTAACCCAATATAGCTGGGCACAGGAGTCTGCATTTCAGGGGCACTCTTCAGTAATAGAAACAATTACCGTAGCCATAGTGGCTCTTCAGAGAAGGGCTGAAAGCCCCTGTGTCCTCAAATAGTATTTTATACAGGAGCAAAAATTACCCTTTCAGCATAAGAACACCTAAAAGAACAAGGCAGGAATTCAGCGTTTAATTGGGAAATCCCGATTTTTTTTTTTCCATTCTTGAGTTTTGCAAGCATCAAGACACTTCTAAAACTGTATCTTGGTGGAACTGCTGCCTATTTTTTACAATTTTTTTACACCTTTTCCTTTCACTTCCATTTTCAAATGGCAATTTATGGAAACGAGTTGGGAGGGCAGCTGGGAGAGCTGGGCCACTTGAGGGTTTCTGTGCTCACTGAGATAAGCGGGAGTACTTTTGCATCCCAGTCCTGCTTCCTGCCACTCACAGCTCTAAAACTGGATGCAAGCTCCAGTGCAGGGTACAGAAAGTCAAATGCTCAAGTGACAGTTTAAGGAAAAAAAACCAAACAACAAACAAAAGAAAAACCCAACAACATTTTTAAGAGAGGCCGCGTTTACAGGAGTACATCCTTTCAACCCCCATTTTTGGCCAAAGTTTTGACACTCCTCTGATTTACAGCTGGAAAACCCAGGAACTGCAGTATGTAGGGACTGGATCTCTTTCATCAGAGTTATAAACAATGCATATGTATCACTTTCCCTTAAATATCTCACACAACGTGAGTATTTGTAGTAAATACGGCTGTAAGTCTAAGTGCCTGTGGTAGGCTTTTTCACACACACACACACACAAAAAATAAGATATACATTTGGACAGATCTGTGAGCGTGTTGAATGAGGTCTTATCCTTGAAGTGTAAGAACTATGTCTGGATTTGCCATACAGTCCGTGAAGGTCTGTGCATGGAGTGGCATTCGATGGGCTTAGCTCTAGAGTTTTCCCAAGGTAGAGAAGTTGTGCAGGTTTACTCAAGACAAGACATGTGCATTACTCAACCAATTCTTGTCCTGTTTTCTTTCAGAAAAGCCTGTCCTCCAGAGCAGGCACTCTTTAGATGGCTCTAAATTGATGGAAAAAGTTGAAACTTCACAACCGCTTTGGATTACATTAGCGCTGCAAAAGCAAAAGGGATTTCGTGAGCAGCAAGCAACAAGGGAAGAGAGGAGACAAGCCAGAGAGGCGAAGCAAGCAGAGAAGCTGGCTAAAGAAAATGTAAACAATAATATTAGAAACACTGATACCATTATAGCTGTTACCTAATTTTATTACATGAAAGGGAAATTTTTTTATATATATTTGGTTTGTAAGATTTCGTGAAAGCTAGAATGACAGTGAGTAAAAAGTAGTCTGAAAGTCTGGAGTTCCCTTCTGCAAAACTAAGATCTCCAGGACAAAGAGTGTGACAATTTTAGTGTAAACTCTAATGCCTTAATATCAGGTGGAGGTTCATGGCAAGTGAAAGCATGACTACTATGCAGGTCGTGGAGCAGAAGATTTCTATGCAACATGGTTCTTTCAGAGCTTGAGTAAATATGATGTTAAGCCTTAATGCTTGGGGATTAACAGCTGGACTACACATTTATAACTGAGTATTAGTAAGTTTGAATTTATTTTTATTGGAATATATTATCTGGATAAAATGCAGACAAATGAAAGAAATGAACTGTCATGTGAAACATCCAAATGCCTAAAAAGCAGGCACTGAATGAAAGTATCATTTCTTTCCTGTTCTCTAAATAGCTATTTACTACCCATGGTATTCTATTACTAAGAAAAACAACAGTACACAAATGATGCTACACAGTGATGCTGTTTATAGATACCGCAGATGGTGAAAGGGGAGATTATGTGGATATCTAAGTATATTTTGATTTGTTTCTTATAAGACACAAATCTCTGATGGACGTGTGCGTAATTAAAGACACAGATAATTGGCAGAAGAAAACAGCAGAGGGTGTGAAGTTGCCCGCAAATGCACACTGTGTTTCAGTGCTGTATTTAACAAGTTGGGCTGGCTCCAAGTGTTCAGCATTTTGACTGAAATGACAACATGACAAATTTAATTTTTTGGGGGGGTTGTGGATTTTGGTGCTTTTTTTTAGTCTCTACTAACTGTTAGTTTTAGAAGTATCCAAGTCTTTTCATGCTTTGCCGAACAGGAAGATACGGAAAGGACAGGTGATGAGTGAAAGCATCGTGTGTGACACCTCTTAGAGCCATTGCACAACCATTTTTTTATTTAGCAGTTTTCCTCCCTTCCTTCTAGGCTGCTGGAAGTAATCAGCCAGATAATAAAAGCAGCAGCAGCAAAACAAGCACACTGCAGAAATCTACAACTCAGGAAGGGGAGAAGAAAATTGAGACTACTGTATCAAGACTAGAAAGAAGGGAACAGCTAAAAAAGTCAAACACCCTTCCAACTTCTGTGACAGGTACAGTGATTCAGACTTACTCTGGGAATAATGGTATTGCATGTTTCTGAGAAAGTGAATGAATGATTATTTTTTTTTGCTTCATGTATTATCCCTAGCATTACAAATTCATTTTATTTCAGCACAGAACAAAATAACTTGTCCCAGTCTTGTGTGCTCGCCATTATGCTGGAAGTATGTAATTGTAACAGGTTTTTACCAGGTTCCCCAGGTTATTAAGGTTGCACTACTGCATTTCCTTAGAATTGCCCTAGTTCAAGTTAAAATAATCAGGCTGTCTCCCCAGGCTATATCCAACCGTATTTTTGGAACATGACTAACGCACACTAGATTTGATTTACTGTAAACTGCAATTGCAGTACTGTTTTGCCTTTAGCTTGGGGGTTAGCACAGAGGGGGAATGATACTTAACTTGTACAAAGCGTATTTGTGTAGGAAATGAAGCACATTGCGTTCCCACATCTCCCAGTTTGCCAAAGAGAAATACCACAGAATATTTGGAATGAATATTCTTGTTTCATTCAAAAATGCAAAACCTAATTGATTCAGTTGAAGGTAGCCTGTCACTCTGAATATAGGACTTCTCCCTCCTGGTCAGGTATTTGGCATGGAAGGCTGGAAGCAGAACCTACTACTTTATCTGTTACTTCAGTTAAGCTGAAAAAACTCCATGTTCAAAAGGCAGGCAGATTAAAATAAATACTTCCTCATGGGAGAAAAATATGTAGGGTGGTGTAAGGCGATTGTTGAAATAGAGACTTGCCTAATATCTCTCTAGCCAACATTAGTCCTAATTGGAGAAGAGTACAGACGGGTGTTGAAGAAACCTTTTTACAAGTTGCAGAGTAAACAGTGTGGGCTTCTTTCAAAGTAAATACACGTCTCAGCTGAATCTATTCGTTACCACTCCAAGCCAAGAAATATGGAATGCAGCTATTGAAAGCAATGAGGTAATTAATTGCTCTGATCTGTAACAGTAAAAGCTAAAGGTGCTCTTCCTGCAGTACAGCCAGTTCCAAGCTGAACAACCCCTACGCACGCCTGTATTCAGTTGGTTCACCAGCCGCACGTCCACCCTGTAGCAGCACACTGGTGCAGATATCCCTGGGAACTGATTTTACTTGCAACACCTTGGCTTGGACTAACGATCTTTAACAGTCCCTTCTAACCCAAACCAGTCCAAGATCTCATACAGATTGCCCCCAAACTTTCCTGCTCCCTGTTAGCCTGCTTCCAGTGTCCCAAAGGGCTTTGGCAGCTGGAGAAGCTCTACAACATTCCTGTCAACCTCTAACAGGGCTCCATTGCAGCCTCACCCCAAAAGAGTCTGTGGTGTGATGTTAAGGTCAGTTCTAGAGGAAATCAAACCCTAGCACAACAGACGATGCCAAATTAGATCAAAGAAGGGAGATCAGTCTGCACTAGAATGAGTTTCGGGAGAAAGTTCAGGAGGAATTACCAATTTTGAATTATCTGAGGTGAAAGCACAAAACTGTGTTGGCCCTAAAGGAAGTAGTGACTGGATTGCCATGTGGTTACTGGCAACATCTGGAGCCAGGTGGCCATTAACTACATGAATTTACTATATAGAAGTATTCGCTTATTGTGGATGATGACATGGATTTTGGTTTCCCACTATTAGGAGAGCATTTAAGGCAGAAGAACAGGCTTGAACATGTTTAAAATAGAAGTTTGCTGAGTCCTCCTTTAAGGACATGAAACAAACACCCAAAACTTGAAGAAGTTGGTATATTTCAGACTTGCACTTGAGTCTTCTACACAGATAAGAATACAATATTTGAAATAGCATAAAATACTATAATATTTAAAATAGCTTTTCAAAGTGCCTGTCTACAGAAATAGCTGCTGCTACTATTCACTTACATATATGTGAACATAATTGATGAAAGCTACACTAAAAAGAAAAATAAAAAATTTTTGCCATCCATGCAATTTTAAAATTTTTTTAAAACATTCAAAACTTGAAAATTAAATGCAACTAAAAGTCACTTGGACTGAATCTGAATATTTAACCAAAAGAGCATTTTGGCTCAAAATAAAAACATGTAAGAGAGGGATTAGTGAGGAATTACTTTGTAATAAAGATGTTTATTACTCCCTAAGTTTCAGATAGAACCTATGGAGTAACTGTAGCTAGAACTGTTTATATCCAGGCTGCCTTCAAGGGCATTCACTGCCTCAGAATTGAACAATCTTTCCACCTGACTTCTACAGTTCTGCTCTGTCAAGTTGGTTCTCTGAAATCAGTTGCTTAATCAATATATTTTCTTGCTGAGACACCTGTTTATCTCAAAGATACTATTTTCAAGAAAACATGACAAACAACTATTGGAGAAAGCTAGTCACTGCTTCTTCAGAATAGTCTCATGGGAGTGGTTAACTGAGGCAGAAAACTGCAGCACCACTTTATTCTCTGTGCTTATTTAACAACTCTAGTCTGCAGGGGGAACCTAAATCCTACTGAATACAGGTGGGTTACACGTGTGCAGCAGCTGAATTACCAAAGAGGAGAAAAAAACCCCAGTTTTATTTCCTATTGTTTGCCACACTGCAGATATAATTAAAATAGTTTATGTAAAGGATGATGACTGGCAAATTGGAAATGCTTTCTCTGGATCTCACAGAGACCGAAAATTTTATCCCTAGCTTTGTGAGTTGCTTGGAGTCACCTCTGAAAAAGGCAACTCAGCTCCTTCTAACTTGATTAGTTTGCAAATACAATAAAAAGTAAGATTTAACTTAAAGAGTTGGAAATAAATATTAAGTGTTAGATCAGAATATCTTCACAGAAAAGAAGTGACATCTCTAGAATCCTGCAACAAAGAACAGGGTTCAGCTAATGTGGTTTTTTTTTTCCCTCTTCCTCTCTGCATCCCATCAAAACCAGTGGAAATTTCAGACTCTGTTCCATCAACCCCTACGGCAAAGGAGGTGGCCAAGAGATTCTCTACGCCTGATGCTAACCCTGTGTCAACAGAACCGGCCTGGCTTGCATTAGCTAAGAGAAAAGCAAAAGCCTGGAGTGACTGTCCACAGATCATAAAGTAAACTGTAAAATTACATCTCTGTTGCTGACTATTAATTGCTTTCTTTTATTTATTCAGCTTTTTACACATGACAAAATTGAAAATGCATGTATTGAAGGACTGAAAACTGAACTGATTACCATTTTGCTCTAGCTCACTGTAAAGTCTACTTAAGTCGTATATTCCATTGCTTTGACAAATAGCTAAATGAGGTCATGGCAAAAAATTCCACAGCTAGACTTTCTCAAAAATGTAAGAATGCTCAGATAATGGATGTAAATTTCTGCAAATATCATAATAAGGGACAGAACTTCAGTTCAGAAGCTCCATAAATTCTGTGGGTATTCAGTTCTGGAATTTTAGATCTCAGAAATTTTTTCAACACTCCATTGTGGAAAATTAAGGCAAGATGCATGTTCCCTTCTCTTATTCCTTTTCTTTTTTAAAGTGTTAAACCTGCTATTTGAAAGCTTCTTCCCTAATGAAGAACTTCAGGAGATACTGTTCCACCTGCAAATGATAAGTAGAAGGATGGTACCATCCAAGTGCTGAGGTAATTTCTTTCATTATAGGATTAATACAGTATTGTCTATATTCCCTCACTCCTGGGAAGAAAACAATTCATCCCACTTAAAAAAAAAAAAAAAGTTTCTCAAACAAAAATCAGAAAGTTTTCAGAAAGAAGCCAGGGAGTCAGTGTTTCTTCTAGCTGTTTAAGTACAACACTGTTTGTGCTTGGCCATATTTAAGAGGCATAGAGACAGCGACTGTAGATTGGAACTTTAAATCAATTGACTAGAACTAAAATAAGTAAAACTATTCCTGTGGTCATGTAGCTGTAGAACTGTCTCAGTAAGTTCCCACAGGAGTAAGACTTGCAGAACTGAAGTTAACTGAGAACTGAAAGCTACGACAGTGAGAGTCTCAGGAGCTTAACTCTGCATTCTTCCTAATTTTACTCCACATGCAGCTTCAGGTAGTTCAGCTAACTTCCTGTACTTTGACCAATACAGCCAGAACACTTCAGAAATAAGTTTACTTTCCCCATCTCAGGTATCTGCTGTGGCAGTTGAACACTTTTACTTCTTGTAACTAAAACAGAAATGTTCACCCCCTCCCTCTTACAAAAAAAGGATAAAGTTCATAATGTAATAAACATTTCACTATCCTCAACATCCCACAGAAATAAATTTTAAAAAGTCGCACTAGTAAATAAATCCGTAATGCACCCGAGTTTGTTTTATACGGTTTTCAACAAATGTGAACATCTCCTTCTTATAACCATAAGGATCAAAGGATCCTTTAAGCCTACAACGTCATAAAGGGAGGCATTTTCATGGGAAGAAATTGCATCATTTTAGAGTGATACCACGTATGAGGAAGTACACTTCCATGTGGAAGTACTTTAGCCAAACTGCTGTATGCAGCATGAGGAGTAGCACTTTAGATTATACAGAAAGCAGTGATTCCTCCCATTCCAGGAACCAAAAAGGGCTTGTCAGAAAAAGTCATTATTGAATATGCTATTTCCCACCAAACAGAAAACAGCTGTTCAGTATCATGGTTACAATAGCACAAACACAATGGGCGGGTTAGATCGAGTGGATGGGCAGCAGCAAGATGGGTTTTCTTGGCTCTCTTAAGCCATTAGCTTTGCTCAATTTCTATTTAAAACTGGAATCTCTAAAGTAACTTTTTACCCTTAATATAAGTATTTAAAATATCTTATACAGAGGTGAGGCAATGCTGCTCTCAAATGCTTGGGAAACAATAGTTGACACCTTCAAAGTCAAATCTCTGCAAGCTTATCTGAAGAAAGACTTGGGCCAAGAATTGGTCTTTTTCTCTGCTAGCACCATGAATTAGTGCATCTTAAGTTAAATTTACACTTTTTCTCAGTTTATAAGCCTGCAGTACGTATTTGTAATTACAAGAACTAAACTGCCCAAAATCCATCTGTATGATTATTTCTTGGGAGGAGAAGCCAGAGAGAAATATAGAGAAACTGAAGTAAATCAGAATTAGAGAATTAAAGATATTGGTATTCAGAAAAGCATAGCAAAACTAGGTGCTATTGTGCATGACATAAAGATGCAATTTTCCAATACATTTATAGCACATAGAATAGAGCTTTCATTAAGGATGGTCTCAATATAAAGCTTCAAAGCAGAGTTTTTTCAACCATAAAGGTATCTAGTGTAATAATGGAAACTGTATTATGTACAGTACGTGATGGAAACATTTCTAAAGTGTACATGTTCAATGGTGACATTTCATGTTAAATTAACAAAAATTTGCACTAAATACCAATGAAGTGAAGTGTTACTTTGCTTTAGCTTTGTTGCAGCCATTTCTACTAAAGTGTTGGAAATCTGTAAAAATAAAACCAAAACATTACTACCGAGTTTAAAACAGCAAAAATGTTTTAAGAACTGAACAAACCACTATGTAGTATATTGTCTCAATTTTTTGTAACTTATACACACAAAGTACCATTTCTTCTGACAAGGTTATATATGATTAACCTCTATGTTCATATAGTAATGTATAAAAACTATAAGATGTATAATTGTGGGGTATTTGTTGTGTACTTTTTTAATTTTTCAAATGTTTTAAAGTGCAATTGTTTATTATACTAATGTCATTTTAATTCTTATTAAACTATAACCCAGTCAAAATTATCTAATCAATGATGCACGTGTTCTGTGTCTCCTTTTGCTAATCGTGTAGTTCAGGATTGCTTTATAAATAGGACTTTTTACAGCACTACAATTGTCTTGCCTATGCATTTCTTCTAACCATAAAACAGAGGAACCAGATGTGATGAAGCAACATAGCCAGTGCAGCTTCTATTTTACTTTTTAATTCAAGATGTTAGGCTCATCACAGAGAGATAATAGTTTCTACTATAGTTCTTTCAGAAGACTCATCAGGAAGATGCTCTCATTTAAGCGTACTTTTGTCCCTGCAAATACTGCAAATACTTTGCCTTACTAAGACCTCAGGTAATTCCTTCTAAGATGTCAGACAACCAACACTGATTTACGTAACACTTTATTAATAGTTCTCTGTAAAAACACTGTAAAGACCATTCATTCAAATGTCTTAAAAAATTAGTTGACACTGGTTGATTTGAGCAGTGCTCACTTCATCTTGGAACTCATACTGTACCTGTCATTGAAATCTAATAAATACACACATGTAAGTACATTCTCCAATTTGGAATACAAGAAGTAACACCTACTGACTTCAACGGAGTATATGCTTGAATGAACTGAAGCCAAGGAGGGCCTAAGCTCCCAAAAGATGAACTATTCAGTTTTTGTATAAACTATAGTAAACAGGTCACTACCACAGGTACACGCAATGCAGGCTATGTCTTCAGAAACCAAGTTAAAAGTTAGATTCAAAAAAGGGCTTGGGTTACCTTGCCACAGCAGAGAGACCTTGTCACACTAGACAAGCACCAATTTGATGCATAGAAGAGCCAGGCACAGGCTAGGAAGGAACCTCAGGGCACAGACTTAGGCTGGACTCAGAGAGAGGAACACATTTCCCCCTTAAGGCAGACAAGCGTGTTATTCCAGACTGCAGAATATGGCACCTTACCACAGCGTCTCCCAATCCTGCAAGTGTTTGAAGCCAAACTCCTGACTTTGATTTTTCTTATGACACAGGTCAAAGCAAACCATTCAAATCCAAACCACCTGAAACATGGTCTTTCATGGACTGGAGGTGGGAAATGAGAGAGTGACAGTGAAACTTCTAGCTGAGTGCTAAGCAGCCATCCTCCTTCAATCAGTACAAGTCAGCAAACATCACTTACTCTGGACTCTGCCTGGTGCAAAACACTACCCAAGAAGTCTGCCAAGAGCACCTCCTGCCTAAAAACCAGGCAGAGAGGCAGACAGCACCTCTGAGTTCTTAATTTACAAACATAAACAACAAAAAAAGAAGCAGCCCAACATGTTAGCTGTCCTTTTTTGCTGTTATATACAAATCTAGGCAATAAACATAATCATTTCTACAGCCAACAACAAGCTTTGTTCCCCATACTACAGGAGAAGAGAAAACCTCTCCTGGAAGCTTAACTACCGCTTCTGCTGCTCCACTCTTGGCATTCAGGATCCACACTTTGCCATCTGTAGACGCTGCTGCCAGAAGAATTTTGTTCTTTAAGTGCTCACTTTGGAAAACAAATGGTGTTCCATATACACTTGAAGTGGCTTCAAATTTCCACAGTAAATTACCCTCCATGTTACAACAGTAGATAAAGCAATCATGGGAGCCAAAAAATACTTCTTGCTTAGTTAAACTTGAGATGCATGGAGATGAAAACACTGGTCCCTTGGTGGAAAACTGCCAAACCTACAGAAAGAACATAAACACCCATTATCAAAAGTTGTGCATGTTATCAGTTTGACAGCAACTGTAATTTTTTAATAGATGAGTTGTTGACAGGAAAGCATTTTATTTCAAGATGAGATACTAGATTTCAGTGAGGCCTGGTAAATACTTGTTAAATTACAAGTTAAGTTTTACACACAGAGTAAGTGATAACAGACTTACAAAATAGATTTGCAAGAGTTACTGCCTTCTGTGAGGCCCACATAAAGATGGCCAACTTGGGAAAAGAATAGTCTTTCTTTGCCAAAAAGGCAAATATTCCTTTTGTAATACAGATTTCCTCTGCTCATGCTAATGATGTGCAGATCTCTCCTCAAGAGAGTATTAGTTCTGCAACGCTGCTGCAAGCAGACAGCAGGGTATGGGCTAATGCATTTTATAATCAGAAAAGTCTTAGGAATTGCCATGTATACTGCATCTGAGGCAAACAAACAAAACAGTGACAGTTGTTTTAACACCAGATACAAACCAGATTCATCTCTGAGGAACCAAAAAAAATATTTAATTGAATGTGAAGGCTGACACATATTTTGCCGGATGATTTAGAACACAGAATCATAGAATGGCCTAGGCTGGAAGGGACCTTAGAGATCATCTAGTCCAACCTCCCTGTTATGGGCAGGGACGACACCTCTCGACTAGACCTGGCAACGCATAGGGACCGAGCGGGAATCGAACCCGCGACCTCGGTGTTGGTCCTTGTTGCCAGCACCGCTGCTCAAACCACTGAGCTAACCGTCCCCATTTATCCATTTAACATTTATCATTTAACCATTTTACCATTTAACAAAAAATGCCAAGAAACCTTTTTTTCTCAAGAGCCACCATTTCCCAGAAGAGATGGCTTTAAAAATATTTGACAAACACAAAAACCAAAACCATGCTGTTGTTGACCATTTACATTGGTTGTAAAATCTGAACTAGAAATTCTGTCAGTGTATCAAGCAACTTGAGAGTTTGTCACTTTGCCATGAACTGCATTGACTACACTAGGCAAATAGTTTTTCTATTTTCTTCTCTCTGTAACAACAGACACTTTTATTTGGTTCACAAAACCATATATGTTAACCATTAAGGCTCAGAAAAGAGTATTAATAAAGCATTTTATTGAGGGTTTTGTGATGAACACAAAAAAAAATCCACCACCACTTTTACCTTTTCTCCAGAATGAGAGTAACAGTATAAGTTTCCATCCACACACCCAACACAGACGTACTTCTCATTGCAGTGAGGAGAGGAGAAGAGTGGTTTTCCCAGGAAGCTTTTCCAAATCTTGCTGCCCGTCACCTGTAAATGGCAGCATGGAATATCGGATGCTTAACACAACTGTAAGAAGATGCACAAAACAACCCCTCCTTCGCAGCTTGACTCAATCCTGAAGAACTGGGGGCTGGGGGAAGGGAGGAGAAGGGAAAAAAAAGTGGGCTTTTCCTATCCAGAATGCATACCAGAAGCAAAACTATTCTTCAAATCTTATTCCAACAAAATGCTTACTGTTTTTCATGGGATACTCTGTACCTCTGTTTCACCCTTTTCTTTCTCCTTCTAAGCAAATTAATAATGAAAATATTGTAGTAGTAGTAGCTTTAATAAATGACAGATTAATTTTTTATTCCATTCTCAGCTTCTCAGTATGTGACAAGGACCAATACAGGAGAGAATATCTTGAAAACAAGTCATATTGATTATGTCATAAGCTATAAATACTGTAGGAAATGCTGCAACCCACAGTCTGTGATTGTCACAATAAACTCCTAATGTAGCCTGCATGTTCCTATTTTTATAACTAATCTCTTGGAGTTACAGCTGGGTTTCTCAACTACTCAGGACTGCAAAAAAAAAACCCAAACAACAAACAACCTACCTGTTTTTAATTAACCACAGCCTGCTAGAGCTGCAAAACCATACCCTGGTTTTCTAACACTAGGTTGGGTGTTGCTGAGGGAATTTGTACTGGTTGGGAGGTAAACATGGTTTGGATTGATGCTCTGTGTTGCATGAGTACAAAAACATGAACAGCTGCTCCAAGTGACTGCTCCTTTTATCAGGCAGGACCAGCTGTAAGCCAACAACGCCTCAGAAAACCATGAAATTGCTCCACATCTATCAAGAATGCCATTTCCCCAGTGCAGAGAACAGAAAAGCAGTCCAAGATTAAGGGGGACAGCTCGTTAAAAGATTATGGGGAGGGCAACAGTACGAGGAATGAAGGGGCTTCTTTCTCTATTCTCTTCTGATTTCACTAAGTACTGTGGGGTTTTTTTCTAATCCTACTTGCAAAGGGAGGGATGGGAAAAAAAAAATCCACAGACATACTCTCACTCACTAGTTTAACTGATAAGGTAGTATATGTAAATGAGAAGGCACAGATCCCAACTTTGGCCTACAGACAGCATATAAATTCCAGCAAGTCACTTCAGTCCTCTTTACAATCAGAGAGCTCTCCAAAATACAGGAATTATTATGATAACCTTGTGTATAATAATAAGGCCCTCGAGTGAAAAATATCTTCTGGTAACATATGATCATGTAGCTCCTTTCATCAGAAAAGCAATCTTAATTCTGGAAATGCATTTTGGTTTCATTTAAATTTGAGATTGGGATCAAAGGCAAGTAAGCAAAGGTACATACTGGGTTTATAGCCAATAACAGTCCTCCTAGTGTAGCAACATAAAGATGATGCGGAGAAGAACTTAGACAGGGAGATGAAAATACAGCTCCACCTTCACAATGTAACTTCCATACACATGCCTTTTTCTGTAAGCAAAAGACAAAAATACATTTTTTTTCAACTAGAGTTAAAGCTCATCAGTTTTAGAAAGATCTTTAAATGTCAAAGCTTATCAAACACTGTATTTACTCAACAAATACTAGTTAAGAAGTGAAGATATGTACACGCTATTATAGCAACACATATATTGTTGGCTACTTTTTCTTCCCGTAAATAAAAGAAATACAGCTAATGAAGAGGCAGTACCTGTCCCTCTTATTTTCCATCATCCTTCATCTACTCTTTGAGAATGTAAGACTCTCTATCCACCATTAAGCCATAGTTTTATTTCTAGCTAGACACCCTATACTAAAACACTCAGAGATAATTTAATAACTAAGAAACTTAAGATCTGGTTTCAACTCGGACTAGCAGCACAAGAACCACAGCTGAGAACACCACTAAAACTATTTACTACGACCCCACTTCAAGCAGGTCTAACTATTTCAAAAGTGTATTTCTGGGCTCCTGAGAATACTACCACCAGGGAAGTTTTATCTGGTGTACTACAAAGAGGGTCTAAGTCGGATAATTAGTCTTCTATGCATAAAAGTTTGTCAGTGTTCTTACATAAATATCCAAAGTGTACACATGTTGGTCATGTGATCCTATGTAGACTAGTCCACTGGAAGGATCTACAACTGCAGAACTTTTCACAGTGTCTTCTGTGATGAAAGTCCAGTGTATTTCTCCATCACTGCTTTGAAGCACATACACTAAGCCATCATAACAACCTGTGTGGAATAAAACAACAGGAAAAAAAGAATAATTATTACTTGTATTTATGGAATAATTTATGCTGCTAGCTGCCTCACTGCTGGAAAGAAATAAGGTGACTCACAAGGTAGTTTCAAAACATTTTCCAATCTTCCTTTAGCTCAAAGTCTTTGCTGATAGGTCATACATTCAAAGGTGATTGTTCTGCCTGTTCTTCCCAGGTTGCATTTAGAATAGATTTATTTCACTGTCTTTCTACCATATTTTGCAGTAATAGTATTAGAAGACATGGAGAGTTGCTGAAAAGGGAGACTAAGAGTGTTTTTAATTATGTCCCTAATTTTCCTTTCTGAAAACAAAGATGCTGAAAGAATAAAGTCTCCATGATTTCTAATGAGAACTTAGTTCTAGAAACTCCTTCAGTTTTAATGAAACATTCAGTTTTGTTATCAGAGTAAACAGCAATCAAAACGCTAGCAGAAAGGTAGTGACAGTAGCTTTGCATAAAAACCCTCCCCACTTGGACATCTATGCTAACCAATGATACATATTAGCTAAAAAGATAACACTAAGATGAATAATGGCAACTCCGTTGACAATGGCTATGACAAAAATAGAAAAGTATCCAAACACTCTTCAAAATAAGAGTCAAAAAGAAATAAACTCTCAGAAAAATAATCGGAGGCACCACGTACTAATTTCTATCTCTATCAATTTTTAAAGACATTTTCAGACTGTATAAGCTTTCCATAATTTTTTTTTTTTAAAAATCACTAAAAAGACACCTGTCGTGGGTTAGGGCTGGGCCAGCCACTAACACGGACAGACACTGGCCCCCCCCAGCCACTAACACGGACAGACACTCTCTAACCCCCTCTTCCCCCCCCAAATGGGAAGGAAAAGGGAATGAGGCAGAGAGACTTTCTGGTTAGAGAAGGAAAAAAAAAAACTAGAACAGCTTTAATGAAACAATAATAGAAATAATAGTGAAATGATAAAAGTAAAGAACTAAATACAATTATAGATAGTAGCCCGATATCAAAAGTGACTCCCTCCCCCAACAGCAATCCCCACTGGTGCTGCAGAGTAGGAGGCACTGGGGAAGCCCCAGGCTCAGTGGCTGCGGGAGCTGGATTCAGGAACTCAGGATCCGGATCAAAAGCAGGAGATCAGATGGAGTCCTCCCTGGACACCGGCCATTGCAGAAAAGGGCAAAGAAGAAAAGGGCCAAAACTCTTGTGATCACTCAATTTATACTGAATATGACATATAGGGAATGGAATACTCTCGTTGGTCACCTGTCCTGTCTATCACCCCCCAGAGGTGCAACCTTTTACTTCCTTGTGACCCCCCTTTACTACCCGGCACCCCCAGCGTGGCACACAAGAGCCAGCAGTGGCCTTGGGCACTGCACGAATAAGCAAGAGCCTTTCCGCGTTCCAGTCCCAGGCCGTAACCGTAGACATCAGGTGTTATCACTGCCAGTAGCACACACTGTCTGCAAAAACATGCTGCTAATTTCAGAAAGTGCAGCCTTTTAGAAGAGACTAAACTGAAAAGTAAAAATCACTTAATAGGACTGGGTTTTAGCTAAACCCAGGACAACACCGTATGCATTGATTACCTCTTACTAAGGCCTCATTAATAAATTGGCATATAATAAACCACAAGTGTATATGTTAGATAAGCTCCATCACTGGTTATCATGAAACGTAAATTACTTCTTCCTTCTGTTTCTATCTTACAATAAATTAGTTCTAAAGCAGACACGGAAGTTTATGGATAAGTGTAGATGGAAGACATTCACAGGTAAGAAATAAGGTTCTCTGTCATTCATCTTGTAGTTAGTAGAAAAAAATAACGTAAAATAAAGGCTAAAACAAAAGACGTACCAACAACAATGAAATTTCCACACTTAGATATGCAGGCAGAAGATTCAATACGATCTCCAAGGTTCTTCTCCCATTTTACTTCTCCCAAATCTAGATCAATTGCCTGCATTGCATGAGAGTGAGAGCCGATGTATACAGATGCAGATACTTCTTTTTTAGACACTATTATAACCAGTGGTGATGCATCCACACATTTTCTTGTATTTGCTTTCCATCTTACGCGTAACGCCAACTCTACCGTCATTACATGACTACATTCTGCACAGATTTGCTGCACAGAGCCAGAGTTGGGGTTTTTTGCCTTGTCAGTAACTGTTAAAAGTCCATTCTCCACTTCATACCCTTGCGTATGACTTTTAATGATACCTGGAGTCACTAAATGCAGAAATGACGGCTGCTGTAGCAGTTCCACTCCCACCTGTACTGAGTTACTGGGTTGCAAAAAAGACTTGGTGAAATTCATAGAAAGAAAATTATTTCCTCTGCTTAGCGCAATAAATGAGATTAACCCCGAAGCAACCTCAAGATTTCTTCCAGATTTCAGTTTAATGTGTTTTCCATGGAATTCCTCTCCACTGTTCCCGCTTAATTTTCTTTTCACAACACTGTCATAATTCATTATTTGGTCTTCATTTGGAAATGCGTTTTTAAGAATATGTCTATAAACCTCTTCAATCGAGCGGCTGAGAATAACTTCAAGGAGCCCAGGCACAGCTTTGCCTACTAGCATCTCAATTTCATCATGAAATCGTAGAGCCTTTAAGGAGTCTCCACCACTGTATAGAAATACTGCATCTTTAGAAATTCCAGTGGAATCACCTAGGAGACCCAGGACAGACTAGAGAAAAGAAGAAGGAAAGAGGTTAACGGCCCATGAATGTTACACCACGTCACACATATAAAGACTCAATTTGGGCAAAATTCACCTGAACACCCAGAAGTCCTGCTAAAAATCAACAGCTGAGGAAACTCAATACTCCGCAAAAAACAACATGAAACATCTTAGTGCCAATAGAGGCAGTGATGGAACAAGAGCTGGGGAAGAGTGTGGAAAAAGGGAGATACTAGTTCTGTACTATAAAATGTTTTGCTCAATTCTAATTCTGCAGTCTAAGGATTTAAAGCAAATTGCAATGTATTTTTGCTGGCCATTTTCAATCTCAATACCATTTATCAATGACAAATTCACTGACAAACCATTGATGCCTTTTCATAAAATTGGTTTAAGAGCTTTATTTTATTAATAAAGCTTATATAAACTGCTATCTTCTGAATTATTAAATAACCTACTTACCTATCTAATTTTGAAGCTATAACTCTTTCAATTCATGAAGGGTTTTGGGGTTTGCATTTTTACTACAATAAACAGCATTTACTATGTCTCCTGTCACTGCCCTCCCTCCTTGTTAAGTCTAGGTGTGACATCCAAAACCTCCAGTTTTAGAAGCCACCTTGTGATGTCATAATGGGTCTGGGGCACATCCCATCCTTTTAGGTTATCATTTCTATAGCTACCACCACAGTAAAGAGCAGCACAGGCAAATTTTGTTACTAATTCTGCTATATTTACTTAAGTCCTAACTACAGTAAATTCCACTTTCAGGTGAAATCTGGAAGTCTACCTTTGAAAAAGAAAGAATACAGTTTGGCATCACATTTCAATACCTTGAAAAACAAGCCTTTAGCACAGAAATTTAGAAACAATACAAACAGACAGTCAGTCCAAGAGACAACTACGCAACTGTGCCATCTATTTAAATAAAAACTCTTGAATTCATAATTATCTTGAGAAATAAGAAACTCTACTAACACAGTAGCTATTTTGTATAAAGTTTCCATGTCCCAGTTCTTTGTTTCCCTCAGGGACACCTTCTTCTTTGGCATGTGAAGCAGTATTCAAAAAGCTACTGACAGGGTACATCCTTCCAATGCTAATTGCTTATACCTCATAGCCTGAAGTTTTATCTGGTAGAGAAATACAAATGACTCCCCCCCTGCAGAGTGACTATATTTAACTGAACAGAAAGAACTCTACTGCTTGAATCTATAGGCAGCTAGAACGTTCTGGTTGCATTAGTCATACTTCTTAAAACTGTTTAATTCCTGACAAATGTATAATGATCCACTTGCAAAGATAAAAAGGCAGCTCAAAATACTACCTTCCATAAATACTGCAATGTTTCCCACAATTCCTCTGCGCCACTCAGTTTACTGTCACGCCTTCTGGAGTCTAGATGGTTCTGGTAAATCTTGTTCAGTTCAGATATATCAACTTTGCCTTTGTAGAAAATAAAGTATGATTTTTTTCATTGCTCTTTTAGCATTTACACTTCCAAAACTTGCTCTGTCCAAATAGCCACGTTATTCTTGTAAACACTTCCTTATTCACACTCAACGGCACCTGTATTTTTCTTTACCCAGTCAATCAACTACACAAAATCCTGTGAAGTTTTTGAAAATTTACCCTAGCCTCCCACATAATCCCACCTTTAAGGCCTTATCTTTCTCCAGGAGTCAGGGTTCTGTTCAGACTGCAACAGAAACGACTGAGAAATATGCAGTATTAAAACTAAATTGATTTTACTCTTGAACAAAACATTATCAAGAAAACATAATACGTTGTCATGACTGCCTACTAGGAGTTAGTTATCTAATCTGTGTAATCAGGTACTGGATTTTGGTCAATCAAAAAAAAAATAAAAAAAAGGAATAGAGACTGTTAAAATAAATGACAAGGGTGCTTAATAGTTTCATTTACCGTGTGACGTTAAAGGCAAAGCTTTAATCAGTACAAGGTCATCAGGGACTGCATAAACTGGTAAATGTTTCTGGAGCTCTTTAAGCATTTCTCTCTCTTCTAAATCATCTTTGGGTGCGACAAACAGAATAAGTTTTTTCTGCTGATACCAGGTCACTGCACAAGCTTCTACCTGACAAAGATCTTCAGCAGCCTATAATCAAAAATATTAATTTTGCTTTGAAATGCAGTTCATCAATAAAGGGAGTAAAAACCACAGCTAACAAAGTAGACATTTAAAATTCGTCTTTGCCTCACATTCCTACAGAAGATCCTATGAAATACCTTCTCTGGTAGCTGAAGTTTCTACTTCTTCACATAAAAATGAACTCAGTGACATACACATTATTTGCTTAAATGCGATGAATGAGATACAATTCATGAGTCTGACATTCGATCTTGTAGAACAATCACTACACAAGCACTGCAGTTACAGTTCTCAATCCTGCTGGAAGAAACCATACAATAAACCAGCATAAACTCAGAGCAAAACTCCCTCCTAAATTACGTGACTAGATTTTTGAGAATACATCCTCCCAATTTCTTTTAGACTCCTGAAAGTCATATGAAAATGAATAAATACCCATTTCTGATGATAATGATGTGTTCCTTATCCCTCCTCTTTTATACCCGCATACTTTACTCGTGAGATGTTATATTACCTGCTGCAAACACTCAATATTAAAACGTTTGCCATGACGTTTAATCTGATTGTCTTTCCGGCCCAAGAAGAACAACTCTGCATTCTGCACTCTTACAAAATCCCCTGTTTCTCTCATTGTGCCCAGGGGTACAGTCATTTCATCATCCAGAAAGCAGATTCGTTCTTCACCACCTACACAAGGAAAGATTGTGGTCATATACATTAAATGGCTAATTGTAAATGAAAATTATAAGGAGAGTTTATCAAATTATCCTAAACTCTAACAAGCATCATAAGAAGTACTAAAATATTATTATCAATGTCTAAACTTCTGCAATGTACAAACTAGGCAATGCAGTTTGTTAACTTAACACACTGAAATTACTTCAATGATGTCAAAATGTAAGTGGGAAAAACAGTCAATATCATGAAAGCACAGTCTGCAGATGGTAATTTCCTGTTCATCATTTCAACAATCTAAAATACCATCAGAAAGTTCCCAGCTAAAATGGAACTTAAAATGCTATATTAATCCATACAAGTAAAATAATCAAGGTATTATTAAAACTCAATCATTTAAGAAAAGTATCTTAGAAGAATAAGAAGTATAAAATAACCTATAAATATTTGTCCCTCGCCTTCTAGAACTGCAGCACTGTTGGTATCTCTGACCTCAACTTTTGTTCCAAGTAGCGGTGATCCCAAAGGTATAGGAAAATCAGCTCTAAATATATTAAAGAGAGAAACAGTGAAAAACTTTCCCCTCTGAACAAAACAGCTGTTCCAGAAGTGAGTTAGCACACATCCTATCAAGTCAACCAATTTAAACATGTTACTGCTTTCTAATTCATCATTTCTCTGTCCTACTCACTTTGAGCTTTTATTCTATTTTAATACTGGTGTTGTGGCAACAAGTACAGTTGCAAAAGTACAGAAAAGAATGAAATAAAAGAATCTGTAATTTCAATGTAACGTTACTATTACAGACAACTTCTGTCAAGCTGCAGATAAACTCCTTCCTTTCCTTTCATTCTCCAACCTCTTCAAGCACTTGCAGAACCTCACTTATTGAATATTGACATTATTTCTGAGTGGGAGTAGAGAATGATATATTTTCTTCAGTAAAGCAAAATTTAAAAAGCAAAGTAACTTCAAATAACTTTGGTAATATATGGAGCTAGGCATGGGTTCCAGTTCAATTTCATCAAAAAGTCTCATATTGTAACCTAACGGTTCTTGTTCAATTCCTGTCATTCAGGCTGTTGAAACGTCTCCTTTTCTCTGATCAATGAATTATCTCGTTAACCAAAAAGCAGACAAATTTTGCAAAATTTCCTCTAGTCAGCTTCAAAATAACATTAGTTAACAGGCAGCTATGAGAAAGCGTCCCAGATATTCAATGTGTCTGCCCTGTACCATGGGAAAGTCCCAACAAAAAGACAAAACAAAAAAGGAGTAGAATTTAACATCACCAAACAAAACCTCAAAATTCAAAAAAATACCACAGAACAGCAAAAAAAAAAGACAAACACCACCTCATTTGGCTTTTATCATTAAGAGACTTGGGATTAGACATTTAATTTTGCCCAACTTAGCTAAAATCCAGAGGGATGCAGACTGTTAAGGCACTAACTAGTGCTGATTTATTTTCGTTTTCCAGTCTTCTCTAGAAACTCTGTTGTTTTCATCATTCAGCTAGCAAAAATAAAAGGCCACCGTACTCCAGCTCTCCTACCGATACTAAGAAACAAAGAAGACAAAACGGTCTGTCCTGTTTTAGTTGAATCTGGGGCTGCTTACTGCAAAGGAACCCTAATTCTCTTTGCAATGAGGCTTTAGAGGGAACATGCTCCGAGGTAAAGGGTAGGGGACAATGGTGAGAGACTGTAAGAACTCCTATCATTCTTGCTGCACATCTGTTAGGACTGAAGAAAAACACGTGATCTCTGGAGCACAGAAACTCTGAGCAGAAAGAACAGTTTCACTGTGGAGCACTTAAATGTTTCAACTCTGAGAAACCAGAACGAAAATGATTTTTGCATGAGAACTGAATAGCACTTTATGACCTTCCACCATTTTCAGTCTTTGAGCGTTTAAGTATCAGGTTAATATATGGCATCATTTGTCTAGAACATCCCACTTTACAGGACACATCCAACTCAAGTTGCAAGTATAATTATCATGCCACGGAATAATCACACATTTCAGAGAACAAATGAAACACGGAGCTAACTGAAAGTACTTTTCACAACCTTGACACTCCTGCAACTCTCTTTATAAAATACATTGAACAACAACAAAAGTTGAAAACTGAGTGAAAAATAGCAGAGTGCTAAAGGATGAAAAGAAAGTACTTCTGGAATCCCAAGTAAAATCACTGTGAGACACCAGGTGAGACAGTGTGGACAAATTTCTGTCATCCGTACTAGTCAGGTAATATCAGTGGAAACATATGCTGAGTAGTATATTACCCAATATTAGAAAAAAAAACCCCAAACAGTAACTAGTATCCACTCAATCAATTTTTTGGTGTTTTAAAAGCTGTAGACAAAAGGACAGTAGCAGTAAGAAACATGCATATATCTACTTTTACATTAGAAACAAATCTTCAAGCATTTTTGCTTAATATAAGTAAATCTCAGAAGCAATATATTCATAACTTAGCTCTGTCGACTTCAGAATATCTTTGTTTTGAGGCTATGATTAAGAGTTACAGAATCTCATCTCTTTACTGTCACCGACAGCTGTGCTGGCTTCTCTTTGAACTTGCAAGGTCTTACTGAAAAAGCCTCACGATGAGCAAGAGTATGGCTAACTGAAGTTCCTAGGAAACTGGGCGGGAGCCACGTGCCCGCAGAAGTGCTTTGCAGGTTCCGTACTGCCCCGTAGTCAGAGACAGCATCCCCCGGGCTGGGCTGGTTCAGCGTGGTCCAGGTTCAGCATGTGGAATCACAGGCTGGGATGAGGAAGAGGTCTAGATACAGAGACGACTAAAACAGAGGCCATCACAGAACATTATGTGAAACTTAAGAGGTCTAAAGTACACAGAATTTCAGACTGCAGTTCTGTCCTTCAAGAATCATTCATCAACAACTTTTACTTGAGGGGGTTGTATTAGAGCATGAGAAAATGGATTAGTCCATTCTACATAGAAACCAAATGTAACCTGGACCAGCATAAACACTCATGAGGATTTAATAGCCCTGGAAACAGGAAACCAAGGCTCTATTTCTAGTCATTTTCACCATTCACACACCAAACCATAAAACCAGTGAATTTTCCTACCTGAAATCAGCACTAAAAACCTCTTCAGGAATCTTGTAGCAAGTGGCCCAGCTGGACACTTCAGTAATACCATACAGATTAAAAATACTTGTTTTGTTCTCCTTGTGCTTCCAACTTTTCAAGAGACTCAGTACAGGAAACGTTTCACCACCAAGAGCTAAGACACGAAGTGAAGTATTTGCAGACAACACTGTTGATTTAATAATGTGAGCTCCAAACCTCCTGAGAAGTGTTGGTGTTGCCTGAATGGTAAAATTATTTTTGTAAAAAAAAAAAAAAAAGAGAAGGACACGTTACATTTTTTCCACTATGTGCGTCCAATTCTTCCTGCTTTATCCACTGCATAACTAGATTAGGGATGTACTTAACAATCACCTATGTATAGCAGACGGCATTGACCAGCAGACAACAGCATAGATCACGGTAGCATTTTCCAAGATTTTGTTTATGTCAAGCCTTTAAGCACCAATCTATGTTATTCTGCAGAGCTTCTTCTTCACTTAGATATGTTATGGGTTCCCTGTTGTGTCTCAGCTATTACCTGAAGTGTGTGAGCATTAGTTCTTATGTTAACTGCTTTGAAATTGAAAGCAACAAACACAGTAGTCTCTCGATGTAACTATTTGAGATATTTTCCCCCTTCATTCCAGCATGCTAAAGTATAACCTATACACCTGATTAACCTGCATATAAATCATTTAAAGACTTTCCCATAAAACTAAAAAATCCTAGGATGCCACATGCAGTCTTGTTCCTGATTTGTGTAAATTTAAGTCTACAAAGATCAGTTTTTCTGAAAGCTTTCACATAACACTCAAAAATGAGCACGGGAAAAAGAAAAAAACAAAACAAATGAAACACAGCTTCCTTAAATACAACTACATCTATAAAACTGTTCATGATATAGAGCCCTTTCACTGAAGGGAAAAATAGCAAATCATTTTAACAGACACATTTCACTCTCATTCTTACCTACTTTTTTTTCTAGTTAAAGGAATGGAAAATTAACGGGATTATTTCTTACCAGGTTATTTTCTTCTAGTAATTGATGAAGATGACTATGTTTTAACTGATCTTTTTACCTTCAGTGAATTATAGTGCAGAAGAGCAGAAAAAATTACTCCTCCTCTCCCTCATAATCACTTTTCAGATTTCTCAAGTTGCTCAAGCAAGTTAAGAGGGGAAGGTAGTGTCTTGCTATAATTTACAGAACACCATATAATTATTCATCATCAGTTAAGCTGTAAGAAGAACATTTTTGTGACTAATTCACTCTAGAAGCCCTTCCTTCACTGAGACAATGATCAAAAAAACCCCCAAACTTTTCTTAGAAAGACATCTCAAATACCTTCATTGACAAAATTCTGCCCTCCTCTAATGCTTAAAAAAATACGTTAAAAGTTTTAAAAACCATACTCCAAAAAATCTTGCTAATCATTTTTTATAAAAGCAAGAAAATCTATGCCATCGAAATTTATAGCAATCATAATAAATAAAAATACGAGCAGCAAATAAAGTTACAAAATATTTGTAACCAGTGGATTTTTTCTTCTGTGGAATCTTCCACAAACTACTCACTAATCCTGAAGTTACACCGTACAATCTCAACTACCACCATTCTTCCAAATGAACAGGAAAGATCAGCATTTTAATGAGTGCAAACAGTTCAGAATTACAACATTAATGACAAAGCAATGCTTAGTGGTTGATTTATCATGATTAACAGACTAATCAGACCATATTCATTTTGTTAAAAATTGGTTAAAAAGTGAGATCCATTTCTAGCAACTCTTTACCACACACACTGATTTAGATTTCTCTACTCAATTAATAGTTTTATGAAATAGCTCGTTACACTACAAGGCAAGGGCTGGGCTTATTCAGCCATGCTGGATGTTCATAACTTCAAGTAAATTTTCCAAAAGTAAAGTTTAAAACTGTTAAAATTGAGATCATATAAGAGATTATCTATGCCAAGGCATAGGGGGCACATGAAGCCTCATATGAACAGGTGGCGTGAAAACAGTAAGCATTGCTGTGGAATCAATTATTCTCCTGCTCTCGTTACTGTAAAATCACAACATTTTACCACCCACTGTAAATGGCACTGGTTTAGTTGCTGTACTTCTAGCACAGAGATTACCATTAAAACTTACAAGATGTTCATGAGGAAAGGCTCTAACATCAAGCCCATTAAAAAGTGCTAAAAGTGTCTGTAACAGGCTACTCCATTACCAGATTCTTTGGAATCTTAATTAACAGAATAATTTAATTAATTTTTAGGAATGAATGGTTTCATAAGATGAATGCCGGTTTTATTTTTAGCTCATTGTTTCCGTTCACAAATTGCTTGAGACTTCAATCAAATAGTAATTTTCTAAAGAGCTAACACTCCGCAGCAAAAAGGCCTACGCTTTCAAGGAAAAACACTCCTGCTCTATTATCACGAACGTCTAGAGTGATCAAAAAGTAGTACACGTCAGCAAAGGTGAGAAGCAAGACTCAGAAGATACTTATTGTAGGTGATGCCTACCTGCAGCACTGTCACCTGGTGACGGTGGAAGAGAGCAGCAGAGAGCTCCAGAGGCATCATTTTAATCGTGTTTGGTACAACAAGAATAGAGGCTCCACTTGTGAGAGCAACAAACAGTTCAACCACGGATGGGTCAAACGTTAGAGGAGAAGCCAGGAAGAGCACATCATCCTGCGTGACCTCAAATATGGACCTAAAATAAGAAAGCTAGGAATTACAAATCTGATGCAGGTTGTTAAAAAAGGTTTTCAACTGGAAGAGCAGCAGGAAAGAAATGCGCTTTTGCAAAGCTATGGTCTTAAGGACTGCTCTGAATATACAAGCACACACAGGCCAGACAATTTGAGGAACAGCTCCAACACCAAAACTGAAAATACTGACAAAACTGATGAGGTCCTTTATGAAGATATCTACCAGTGGGCTGAAGGGCATATTTCAACTAATGGATGCTCATTTAAAAAAAAAAAAAAAAAAAAAAAAGGATTTCTCTCACAGCTTTATTTAGAAAGTATTAAATGAAGCAGAAAGAAACCTAAGCAGCCTAAAAAGGAATTAGGGCTTAAAAAGTATAGAACACAGTAGCATAACTGTGAACAAATAATGAAATATTTCCTCCAGGCGCCAAAACAAAATACAGTACTTACAGCAACAGCATAGTATTTGTCAGGTAAAGCACTATTTAAATATTAAAAGTAACAGTTACGGAAACAAGATTTGATATGATACTATTTAGAAACAAAAGAAACAAACACAAATTTGAAAAGGCAGGGAAGGAGGAAGTGGTGAAGCAGCTTTAGCAAAAAAACAATCTACATTCCTCTTCATATTAAGAGTCCCTAAACATCAAATTTGTAAAAGCATTTAAAAGGAAAACTGGAAACCACACTTACTTAAGATGGTGAATATTTGGCACTATACATTTATGAGGCACTCTGACTATTTTGGGGACCCCTGTAGTCCCTGATGTATGCAAGACGTACGCTAAAGAGTCTTTCTGGCCAACATCCATGTGTCTTTGTTCTGATGTTTTCACTTCGGTTTGATTTGGGCAAACAGTATGTCCTGGCTGTGAGTTACCCGGAGCTTTGAAAGGTTCATATTTACTTTTCCCATTGTCTATTTGTGAATTTAAATCAGTGCTGCTTGAGTTCATTTGGAAAAGTGTTAAGCCAATATGTTCTATTGCGGCAGTACTGTGGTAAAAACCAGCGTGGGACATCTGGAATTTCTGTAAGAGAAAATAAACAATTTAAACAACAGAACCCAGGACACAGTGTTATTGTTCTACCATATGCAATGAAATATGAAACAGTGTCTCATACAAATAGGCTGTGACTTTTCATGCTGCTACTTTTGAAGGACACACATTAGACAGTTTAAAGCTCATATATTTTTACATATTAAATATGAGTGAACTTTATAAACAGGAAGTAAACTATTCTCTGAGCAAATAATAAAAAGAAGGGAAAATATATAAAAGAATTCTACAGAAGACAAAAAACTCTGAACTGTAACTAGATGGTACAACCTTGTCTATTCCCTTTGCAGTGAGTGAGGGTGCAAGACTTGAGAAACGGAAATCAAAGAATTAAATGCAGGAGGATTTTTTCGACTATTGCAAAGATTTCCAATTCTCAACCTTGAGATATAGAGAAACAAGCCTGGAAAAGCCTTCCAGCACTAGTGCCCAACAAGCTTGCCTAGACAATACTGTAACAGGAAAGTAGGCAAATAGTTTGAAGAGGAGGAAAAACACTTTGTACTTCTAATTTTGCAGATGTTCTTTTCCGAATAACAAAGACAACCTCTTGATAAAAAGAAACAAAACAATCCCATCCAAGCTTATTAAACCAGAATGCAATCTGAATAGCTACACATTTCTAAATTGCCTATTAATGCTTCCTGTAGAAGCCTGAACACTTACATTTATTTTGTCATTCTCAACAAGAACATACTGAAGATTGCTTTTCGTCATAAAGTAAGTGGATAACATTGGCGGTGCATCTGGATCAACAGGAGAATAGGCAGCTGGAACTTGAAGGATTCTAACAAGACACAAGTGTTTTAAATTTATTTGAAAAGAAAAACCTCTGAAATTTGCTAACATTTCTGTTACACTTTTATAGTTCCCAGAACTCGAAAATGTAGTTGTAACATGACTCTTAAAGATTCTGTCAGAAAAAAAGTAGGAAGAATAATCAGGTGTTGGCTTTTGGTATTTTACAGCAAGGAAAAAGATTAAAGCTAGATAAAAACATTCACAATTATTTCTGCCAAGCAAGTTGGTGATGACAAAGGTATCACTGACATCAACAGCACCACATTTAAGAAGCTCTTCCTATTGACTAGGAACTGAAACATAAGCTTTTCATTTATACATATACAAAATGCATAAACAAAAATAAAAAACCCCAAAAGTCTGCAAACTGAAAAAGTTTATTTTTCTCACTAGTCTAAAAAATCCAGTGTAAGAAAATCTGAGCATATACTGGAATTTCATCGCTAATAATGCAGCAGAGGAACACGAAGTACCGTTCTGCTCTCACTCACTGTACGGCACACTGTAGTGCTTCCTCAGCAGTTGCTCACTACAATCTCCCCCTCTAGCGGTTCCATTTGATAAAAGTCAAAAACTTGAATTTATTAACGCCACTAAAAAAAGCAACAAAACCACAAACGGTTCCCATAAATGTTCACATTACTTCTGAGTCTGGGTTTCTATGTACAGTTGTATTCCCTCTTCGTGCAAGTGATTTATCACTGCAGTAATGACAAGATCCAGAATTAAATTAGGGAACAGCAGCACTCTGCATACTCAAAATAGCCACTGGTATTGATAAGCACCTAAGCCTGAAGCATATATAGTGCTTAACTACTCAGCAACGATAGCTGTAATGCCCTGGTAGTTCCCAGACTAAATAAACTGTGTTGCTGCTCAGTTTATAGGGACAGAAGATAAACTCGGTTGGAAGGGACCTTGGGATGCCCTGTCCAACCTCCTGCTCAAGCAGGACCAGCCATGACACCAGCGCAGGATGTTCAGGACTTTATCAACTCCGGTTCAGAAAACCTCCTGGGATGGTCCCTGCACAAAATCTCTGGACAACCTGCTCCACTGCTGGACTGGGTGAAAAGCACTTCCTGGTCAAAGAAAAAGTTCATCAGTGCTTCTGGGAGATTTACAATTACAGCACTCGCTCACTCACTTCACTGAAATCTTTATGATCAGCTGTGAGACATATTCTTGCACTATTATGTATTTGAAGTGCAGTGTGACAAAAGGAAAATACTGACACAGGTCATTCTCCTAAGTAGCACAACTGCTGCTGTATACATCAGCTGGAGAAAGTAACCTTGCAATGTCGAGATTTTACATTACATCATAAACGCCATAGGTATAAAAGATACACATCTAAAGGATACAAACATTAAAACTCATCAGCAGGGTTTTGGGGTTTTTTTTAACCTGCTGAATTAAAGAGTGTTGAGATTACAAACATTTCAATTTTGTAGCCAGTAATGTCTCTTTGGCACTACATTGCTCATTACTTTTTTTTCTACGCTATTTGTAATGGAACTTCAACTGTACACTCATTTAGGTTAAAGCATGAAATTTGTTTTCCATGCATTTTGTTTTTATTGCTAGCAAGACAAGAATACATTAAAAACACCTACATAGTCCTTTTTGTATAGATACATTTATTGTTAAATCATCTGCATTCTTCAACAAGCAAAGATATTAGTCATTTTTTTATATAAATACACTTATCTCTTTTTTAAAAAGCGTAGTTACATACACTTTAGATCAACGAATGTAAGGTTCAAAAAAAAACTTTAGCAGTAGCTTTTCAGAAGGTCATAATACTGTCCTCTTTTTTCTTGAAGAATGCAAGACTCCGTTACTCTGGTATTACTGCAATTTTGTTATTAAAAATATAAACAAACTACAAATGTGTTAAAAAAATAACACAGATTGCAAGCTTTCAAATGATTACCCCAAGATCCAGGAGGGTAAGTTTATTCCCGGATAGCAGTAAAGGCCTATTTCACATTTTCTTTGTTGATCACAGTGCTTTTGAAGAAAAGCTGTTAACTCCATGGCAAGGTTAACCATCGTCGTGTACGTGTAGAAAGATGGAGTTTTGCCGTTGCACTCATCAAACCAAATGGCTTTTCTGTCAGAGTGCAGGGCAGCTGCCTGATTCACCAGTTGCTGAAGAGTCATCTCAGCTGCATATCTTCGATCCTCCTGAAAGACCAAGACTGCATTGTCACCTCCTAACCTTTAATACTTTAGTCAAATTACATAAGCACACGAAACACTACTAAGAAGGTAAAAAAGATCCTTAGCAGAAAACGCACAGCTCCACCACACCTCCTACCGCAGAAGCGCAAAGCTTACTGCTTTTACTGGGGCCATGTGCCTGGCCCCAGGACACAGTAACTCACTGACTTCATCGCACAGAGGTCGTTTGTTCCTCATCATTACACCTTTATTTTTAAAGCTGGGCACAACTGACTTAGCACCTGAATTACCACAACTTAATAACTTTAAGAGAATTGTGAAACACGAATCCTTCCTTCCAGAGCAGAAAGCACAAGGCGCCGGCTGCCGAGGCTTTCAAGGTGCTACTCCCGCTGGCGCACGGCCCTACACT